CTTTTTTTTTTTTAATTAAACCTTTCTACTTTTTCATCACATTTTTTAACAAAAAAGTGCAACAAGTTTATTTAAAAAAAAAAAAACAGATAAGTTGAAAATTATAGATGTATATGAATATAAAGTATAATTTTAAAATTAATGTAAATAAAAATATTCAAATACTAATCAAAATTACTATTATAAATGTGTGAATGATTAAATAATATTTAAAAATAATAGTAATTTTATTTTTTAATTTGATCAGTTAAATTTATAGTGAAAAAAAAGTAAGACGTAATAATTTTTTTTAATTTTATTTTATTTTCAAGTGAAATTAAATAGTATACAAATAAAAATAAAAAAAATTATCAGTTGTATGCGACTCTTCCGCCGGCCGGCCCACACCCACACCACGGCTCTTATCCGCCTCGACAGTCAAAATGCTCCGCCCTATCGCCACCGCCTCCACCACCCCCGTCCTTCCCACCGTCAAGCTCCACAACCCCCTAAAATCAAACCACCCGCCACCCGCAATACGCAGAAAACCATTTGTCCTGTCAAGTCTAACCCTCACGAAAACCCTCACCAGGAATAGAGCTCTCCGATTCGCCGCCACCAGCTCCGAAAGTACCTCCGAGAATGAGTGGGAATTTCGGGACGCAGAAATTGGGGAAGATAACGGCGGCGGCGATGAGGGCTGCCCCTGGGAAGGCGCGATTGTGTACAAGAGGAACGCCGCTGTACTGCATTTGGAGTACTGCACGACTCTCGAGAGATTAGGGTTGGGGAGGGTCTCGTCGGCGGTGTCGAGGAATCGGGCCTCACAGATGGGCCTGCGAGTGGTGAGGCCCGTGAGGGACTCTCCGGACGGGACGCCGGTTTTGGTCTCTGTGGGTGTTACGAGGAGGAAGCAAAAGCTGCGGCTGGACGGAATTGTTAGGACTGTCCTTGCTCTTAACTGCAACAGGTAGTGTATATCTGTGTATTTCATTTTTTCTGTTCTTTTTCTTGTTTATTTTGTGTTTCTGCTGTTGGTGTGACATTCGAGTTGCTTTATGTGCTGTTGTGATTAGTTTCTTTATATGGACCGGTGAATGAAAACTTGCTGTAGTTCTGTTAAGCTATTGATGTTTGTGGGTGGGTTTTTGATTTTGTAGCTCCAACCATTTTGTGCTCTTTGTAGTTAACTGACTAGTGCAAAAAATGACATGGGAGTCGAGACGTGGTGTATCAAGCTTAGCAGTAGTGTGTTTACATTGTTGTAGATTGGTTTAACAAATTTGGTTTTGCTGAAAATTTAACCAGTCATTTAAGTGGATCACGTTTAATGGTTGGAGCTACTTATTTTGGTTTTGAGGTTCTGTACCTCGAGCAGATTGGTATAGGAAAGTTAATTGTTAGTTTATTTTCGGTTTTGAGGTTCTGTCCCATATTGGTATGGTGAAGTTGGTTGGTTTAAACTAACTAGATGAAAAATTGTGGTAGAAATCCACTTGATACAGTGTAATTTGTTGATTTGCAAATTGGTAGCGGAACAATTAGAATCGAATTAGAAAGGCTTTTTACTTACGAAACCATCAAAATGAGAAAAAGTCTGACTCTATTCTCGGCCAAGATTCGATTTTTTTCTAATTTGAAAATTGCCTGCCATCTAAAGTTACAGCTTTATACACAATTCAACAGCAAAAAATTAGACCAAGTTTTTTTTAGTATTTCTCCAGTTTTAGTTGGTTATTGTAGGAATTGATCTGTTTGCCTCTACCTTGGTCATATAGCACATGATTCACTCAGAAGTCGTAAAGCAAACATGGGACCTGGAAAAGTGGAAACAGTTGAGTAATTTGGTGGTAGCAGATAGAGTATAACTGTGGCTCCATTGTCATGTAATGGTGAAAAAAATCAAAAGTTGGCTGAGAAGAGGAGCATGACTTTTGATTAAACGGCTCAAGCATTGAGATTAAATTATATACGCCAATTATATAAGCGGCCTGATTTTATACCTAATGCACCATTATTAAAATGAAATTCTGCTGTATCTAACATGTTGCTGAATAATTTAGTAGTCTTTTCTATATTTAGATATTTTTGCTTTCTAGTTTCAGAAGGAACTTGTTCTTGTTTTTTCATATGTGAGTATGTGACAATGGAATTGTAGTCAATTTTGAGGTTAAAGAGATTTTTTACTAATGAGTCGGTAGACGAGAAATCTTGTCAAAACAGAGAAACCCATTTCTGGCCCTAAACTGTAGAGGCCATGCTAATGCTTGATGGTTACATTTTTTCACTTCCCTCCCCAGAACTCAAAATTTAGTGTACACTCTGCATATTTGTTTATATGCTATAGCACCCTTTTTAACAAGTGCAAACTTCAGGGAGGTTTGTGTTAAATGTGTTGAGAAAAGGCAAATGTATTGAACCTTTCAAAAAGATAGTGTTTTTTCAACTCTCTCAAAATGGAATCAATTCTAAACATATATGCCATGGATCCTTGATATTTTTAGATACATTTTTCAGAACTATTGCCATAATTTTCCACCCTCGTGCTTTTCATTCACGAGCTTTAATTCTACTTAGTTTGTTTACTTTATCATTGGCAAAAGGTGTGGGGAGCCAGCTGCCCAGAGCTTGTACTTGGATTTCTCGCTTTTGCTGTGCGAACAACCAATCCCAGCAGAGGACACTATAAACATGGGTGTCATATTTGGAGACGACAAATCCAAGAATTTTGGAATGGAGGATAATGAGGAGAATGAAGATGCCTCTATTGACTTAGACGATCAGTTATATTTTCCTGTTGGTGAGAAAACAATCGACATCTCGAAAAACATAAGGGACCTCATACACTTGGAGATCAACTTTAATGCAGTCTGTGATCCTGGCTGCAAAGGACTCTGCCTAAATTGTGGTGCTAACCTCAATATCAATAAGTGTTCGTGTAAGGAGGATGTGAAGGAAAAAAGTTACCGGCCTCTTGGAGATTTAAGAAAGCAAATGCAGCAAAGTTGAAAAGTTGAACTATGGGCCTCTTGGGGTATCTTCTGCCCGGACTTATAATTGAATGTATTGTAATATCTTTCCATCTTTTTTTTATTTTTATATTCGTTTTGCTAATGGCTCATTATGCAAAATTGTGTTGATATGTGATTTTTACCAAGATTCGCGAGAGATTTTGGCAGTCTGCAATGTAAGAAATAGTATCAAATGACGAGGAGTAAATTAAACTGTAACTTTTCAATGAAATTTGGCTAAACTGCTGTCATTAAGCCAACAAAAATTGTTTTTCTTTCATTTACTTTATGCCATCAACATGTCCTGTTTGATTAAGAATGAGTGAAGTAGATATTATTACTAGTACAAAGCTGTGAAAGCCTACAATTTTCAGCCTAGGAAAATGGACTTAGATGAGAGCCAGGAAGTTGGGGAATGCTAAAACAAAATAAGTAATATCAATAATCAGAACACAAGTTATATTATTAGGTACAACTGTTACATTTTTATTTTTTTATTTTTTTTATTTTAATAGAAACGCACTTATATCATAAAAATATCATAATTTTGTTTATGTTATTCATTTTACGTGTAACATTTAGTGCCAGTCTATCCATGGTTATTGAAAAAATATGATGGTTTGATAATCAGATCGCCTAAGAGGTACATAATTGCAAAAAATGTGGGCCTGCATATTGATTAATCAACTGCTGTTCGGGTTCCAATTTATTTTATGAGAATCAATTATAACATTATTATTTTCTACCAAATGATATGGTAACTCATTTTGATATAATCCACATTATTAATGAAGAAAACAAATATAATCCAAAAACAATTATTAGCATGTCTCGAAGCTTTAATTATAATTAGAGCTGTAAAGATCAAATACCCACTAACCACCACATGTGAAAATGGCATTAACAAGAAACCAATAAACCATCAGAGACAATCATAGTAAGAAAAAAAAAATGAAAGAGAGAAATGATCTCCATTACATTGACCCTATGAGGTGAATTATATGTACATATATATCTAGGACAAAAAAACATAATCTTATAGGGATCACCCATTTTTTGTTTTTATTTATTCATTAATAGGCACTTTATGAACAATTTTGTGAAACAATATGAAAATGTGTAGCGTTTGAACCTGATAAACCTTATGCCACATGGGTTTTATGCCCAAATCAGGAACTTTCCAATAATTTGAAAGCTCCAAGTACCAATGCCTGCAGAACTTGCCAGTTCCATTGTTAAAATTGATATTTTGCACACAAGAGTAGCTAAGAACAAACTTTTTTTTAAGAAGACATTTCTGGAAACTTCTATTTATTGATCAATTATTGTAAAAAATGGTACAGTGCTAACTGGTAGGGTCGTGATGAAAAGAGTATTATATGGATTTAAAATTTTAGATTCAGTTATGTAACTTAGAAGAAAATTTATGTGGTTTATATAATGTTATTTCCTATTTTGTGTGGTTGTATCCTAGTAATTGTTTATCTTTTATTCAATGTTCTGACAATAATTAATTAAATTACTAATAGGATTAATTATTTGGACAAGTTCTTGAGTGGGGTGAATAACGTGAATAACGTGAAGAAATTCAACTCTGAAACAAATATACAGTCTAGAGGACTGGGCGAACTAGCCGCGTGATCTTAAAGTCACGCTTGGACTGGCTAGGAGGTCTCGGTGGGCGCCAATTTTTTTATATGAAATTCATTTTTTAATAAATAAAATGATTTTACTATTATGCGTGAAAGTTATATTAATTAAATAATAAGAATACTAATCATATTGGTGTTATTACAATACTTATGAATGCATTGAATTTTGTATAATATATTTTACAAATTATATATGACAACAAAATTTATTAATGTTTTTACAATTCCGCCCAGATGACCTATAGGCCCAACTTGCCGCTTGATGAGCGCGAACAACTTTTACAACCTTTATCAAAGTACTATTTTTTAATGTCATTCATAAATGTTGGAGGCTTTAATATTCTGCAAGGAAACAAATTTCCAATTTTATTCAATTAGTGACAATAAAGGGAAATTTTTATAATAATTCAGAGACATTTTTAATGGAACCACTAGCTAGCTTATCTAGCCAGATAGTACTTTATAATATAATTTTGATTGAATATTTAGTAGTTAAAGCTTTGCTTGAATGAACACGGGAAAATGATGCCTGATTCATGCCAAAAAATGATGTTAGTTTTTTAGGAAAAGATAACAATTTATCGTTACCCAATTAGCTGTATAATTGATAGTTCAATAAATACGTTGTTCGGGGCATGTTAGGTCGTTTAATTTCCTCACTAATTTCTTCCTCTTCTTTTTTGCTTTCCTAGCTATGTCCTCTGAAAGTAAGCGCAGTTGTTTCTTAAGTTTGATATCGACAGTCTTGTGACGCTGAAGGTCTTTCTAGATTTTATTTTTGTTCAACTTAGTTACAAAATTTTTGTGAAAATAAATGACATAACATATAAGATAAAGAAAAATGGCCTAAAAAGTATATTCAATCAAATGGCGAGTACATAAAATGAAATGATAAAATAATTTAATAAAAATAGTAATAATGGCTTTTTTTTCCCGGATCGATAGAAAACACTTATATTTACAACAAAATTGAGACTAGAGAACAACTATTCAGCGAATGTACAATTCATGGCCGAATAAGTTGAACACCTGACTCTTGTAGAGAGGACTACATGTACACACTGACGGTAGCCTACACTACAAGAAAAATGATGAAATTCCAACGGAAATATATTCAAATAGAATTCCAATGAAAATTCCAATAACGATTTTTCAATGCTATTATTTTCATTTGAACCATTCCAATGAAAATTTCAACAAAAATATTCAATTGAGTTTTCTATTGGAATTTCGTTGGATTTTAGCGATTCCAACTGTAGATTTTCCAACAACGGTAGAAATAAAAATTCCAACGAAAATTCCTACGGTAAAAAACCGTAGGAAATATAGTCATTTGAATCATCAAATTCTATCTAAAATTCCAATGAAAAACACATTCCAACGGAATATTTTCATTGGAATTTCCGTTGGAAGCATTCCAACAGAAGCTATACTATTGGAATACCCGTTGAAATTTTCATTGAAAAATATCACCATAGGATTTTCCGTTGGAATATAACAACTATTTTTGTAGTGCTAGAGTCAACCTACAATACACAAAACAACTAAAAAGTTGCCAAAAGGAGAAGAAACCAAAAGCTCCCAACAGGAGAATACACCAAACTAGGGCTGCACATGAGTCGAGCGGCTCGTGCTCGGCTTGAAATCGAGTTTGACCGAACTCGAGTCGAGCTCGAGCCCATATTTTACATTGTCGAGCGGCTCGAGATATATGAAAATTACTAAAATACCCCTTCTATATATTTAATTTGACAAAGTTGTTTGAAAATTTTCGAACCGAACTCGAGCTATTATATTTTTTTATCGAGTCGAGCTCGAGCCTAAAAAATCGAGCTCGAGCAGCTAAAAAAAAAAAATCAATCCTGCTTGATAAGGATAATGCTCGACTCGGCTCGGCTCGTTTGCAGCCCTACACTGAACACACTTCCAACATGAGAGAAAAACAAAAAACATAAACACAACAAACCACAACACACAAAGAACAAGAAAAAAAAACACGGCAAACAGAAAGTAAACAAAAACAAAAACAACCCTTCCACAACCGGCAAAAATACCAAGTCACGTTCCGGCAGCACCATAGCTGACCACCACACTGCTACAGACCACGCCCCAAGGAGTCACTCCAAAAACTATCCAAAGCCTAACTGAACCGCACCCTAAGAACACGACCCTAAGCCCAGACAGTCAACCACAGCCCTCAGTCGGAGGAACGCGAGCCTAACCCCGAACAACACAATACCGCCCCAACCCCAGCCCACACCACGAGCCGAGCACGGAGATGCCGGCTAGCCCCTTAAACCGAGCACCAAGGGAAAAGCACGCCGTACCGCCACTCCGACCAACCGACCAAAATCGCAAGGTGGCCCGAGCTAGCCTCCCCCCAAAAAGCACCACAACTCCAACACCACTGCGACACTCAAAGGGTGAAGGCTCCACCTCAAAACTACACTAAAAACACGGCGAGTCCATCTGAGCCGCCCTCCACCACCAGATCCGCAAGGATGACGACATCACGAGAATCCGGGGAAGGCCGCTCTGATAAGAGCCGTCACCGACGAGAAGACCGACGACCAGCTGAGGAAGGCACTCGCCGGAAGAAGAGAAAGGTGGTTAGGGATTAGGGATTTTCGATTGTAAAGAGAGAGGGGATTTTTCGCCTTTTTGTAGCTATTCTAATACACCAACAATGGCTATTTCATTGCTATAAATTTTTTTATTCATAGATTTTAATGGAATTTCAACTGAAAATAAAACGTAAATATTGCACTAAAAGTTTAGTTGGATATTCCAAATGCAACTTTGCAAATGATTGGAATTTTCGGCGGAAGCCTAGTTTTAACAAAATTTAATCTTCCAATAGAAATTCCTACAAGNTTCAACATAAAGTTGCATAATGCAACAAAATTTTACAACAACGATGGAAAAAGCTTGTTAAATCTTATCAAAAAGAGTATTTTTTATTTTAAATTTTAATATTAAAACACCAATCGTAATAATTTATTAGTACTATGTTTTAATTGGAATTGATCATCTTCATGTCATTCACTTACTCTGTTGTCCTTGAAATGATTCAAAAGTAAAGGCATACACGGCTTCACATTATTAATCAACTTTTGGACAAAAATAATAATAGCAATACTTATGCAAATTCTATGGGCAACCTCTTTGTGATTCTATGAAAGTAACAAAAGCAAAAGAACAGACCCTTTCATCCCAGCAAGCAACAAAAAATGGAGCCCATTTATAACAGAAACATTTATATTCCATCATAAATACAAATATATACTCCATAACAAGCAAATCCCACTACACAATCACATACCAAATCCCACTTTCACAATACCAAATTTCTCGAACAACATACATTTGTTTATTTTTCAGCCCCACTTACATACACGTACACAAATTATACCACACAATTATAGACAGTTGACCTCTCGTGGCTAAATACCGCTTATTTTATTTTTATCTAAATCGAGACCACAATAAACCCCAAACGTATCGCATAATACCTTTTATATAAATCCATTCAAACAAAATATACGAAACCTAATAGTACCATGAAATAAAATATAAAAAATGAAAATGCACATATATATATAAATATATATAGTTACCACGTAAAATAATTCTTGATTTGATTAATTAATTAATCAGTTCCTGTTGAGAAGCTCCTCAATCATCTGCAACGCAATCCTTTCTTCCTCGTCAATCCCTTCTCTCACCGCCGCCACCTCCGGCGAATTTTCTTCTTCTCCGGCCACCACAACTGGCGGACTCTGATTAACATTATCAATATTATTATTGTTGTTGTTGTTGGTGCTGAGCTGGACGGTCATGACCCAGCTGGACTCGGATCTCGGCCCGGCCCGTTTTTGCCATACACCAATATGCGAGCTTTCTGTGTCGAGCCTTAGGCAGGTGAGTGAAGGAGATGGAGACTTGCACGATTTACGGAGCTTGGCGCTGAGGATGGAGGAGAGAGAAGCCGCTTTTGCTGCTGTCAGCGATGACGTGGACGATGATGACGAGGATGACGTGGAGGCATTGCTGACGGAGCCCATTTCTTGAGGGAAGTTTGTTTTTGCGTTTCGACCGCTCATTAGAATGGCCGCCTCGTCGTAGGCCCGCGCGGCCTCCTCGGCCGTCTCGAATGTCCCGAGCCAAACCCTTCTCTTCCTGTGTCAAAATTAATTAATTAAATGTATATAAGAAGTAAATTAAATTACAAATCATTTAGGGTTTTTTTTTCCTTTTAATTTTTTATTTTTAACTTTTAATGTTAAACAAAGTAGCTAGAGAGAGAGAGAGAGATTTACAACAAAGGGTGGCGAATTTCTGACACCCAAGAACCCCAATGGCGTTGTCTGACACCTCGAAATTTTTTCGACTGNGAAAATTAAACTAACGATGATCAATTGAATATTGATGAATAATGGTAAATGAGGATTTGATTTATATATAAAAATTAGAGACAGCCATTGATGTGTAGTTGTGGCTCTAATTTTTTTTTCTGGAGATTGATTGATAGAGTAGCATGCATTTGCAGCATGATTTTATAATATAGCAATTTTTAACAATGTAACTCAAAGGGAGATAGTTTTTAATGAAGAGGAGAATGAAATAAAGGCAATGTTTCTGGTAAGGTGGTCCCTGGGCTTTCCAATTCCCTAAAGTGGGCCACCAGCCGAGCCTACTTTGAGGTTGGGCCGACTAATTGGGCCCTCTTTCTCTGCGTCAGTTGTGTTATATATCCGATTTAGTAGGTGGAGCACTCAGCCTAGGAGCCCTTTTTTGTGTACATCTTGCATGTGAATCCTCCTCTATTTATTGTCGCCTTTGCGATTTTGGTAGGACTTTACAAAAATAATATGAAATAAAAAATTATATATGAGTTAATTTAATTAGCCTTGCTGATAGGTAAATAATAATTAGTTGAAGATTAGTTGTAGTACCTTGGTGTGCCAGCAGTGTGTTGGTTGTACCCTTTGTTTATGCTAATTATATCCTTGCTAGTATCATATAATATGGAGTGTATATATCATTAAATAAATCTACAATAATTTTAATTTGGTGGTATCAAATATAAATTATAAGGCTTTTAAAAAAAAAGGTTTAAGATGGATAAATCTTAACATTAGGGACGTCAAATTCACTAGTAGAAAATGGTAAAATTTTAATGTAGTTTTAATGACAGTTTTAATGGATATTCTAATAATACTATTTTTATTTTTATTTTTCATCGAATTCCAATAGAAATAGTTTTTAGGAATTAAAGTTTCTTTTGCAGTTTTCGTTGGATTTTGACGGTTGTAAAAGTATATTTTTAATTTGAAACATGGTCCAAATAAATGGTCCAATAGAAATTCCTACGACAATAACAGTTGAAATTTTCATTGAAATATTTTACTATTGATGTTTCCATTGGAATATGTTTTTTTTTCTTATAATGATCGTGTTGTTGTGTCGCATTCGTATTTTATTATCTTGTTTTCAAATTATTTATATTATTTGATTATCGATACGACAATAAATCGTTTGTCTCATTTTTTATTCATTTTTTTGTATCATCTCTTATCACATCAATTGTCTTTCACAAATTTTTGTCTGACTCGATCGTCATACATTTATTAATAAACAAAAAAAAATCATACTTTTGTTTATTTTATTTTTCACAGAAAAATATGTTGAATATATAGAGATCCATTGAAGAAGTATGTCTAATCTGAATAATAAGTATGTCTAATAATAGCCTTCGTGATTGTCTTTACAATCGTATTTTTGAGTTGTTTGCTATTGCCCCTCCATGTAAAGTCACGAATTAAGAACGTGTTATGCAATTTATCAGATTAATTGAACATATTTTGCGATCCAAATTGTGTAACGTCCCTCCACGACAGAAATAACCAATTTCCAATCATGGACCACCAGATAAATAATACATATTCATATGTAAAATCTTTTTTCGTGTGAAGTAAAATGAGCTGCTAGGCATAGTTCAAACTAAATGAGCCTGTCAGGGAAAGTACTCACAATTCAACTGTATGTGGTCCTCCAAAATAAATTAAATGCCTATCAAGATTAATCATAAATGTCTGTCAAGATTAGTAATATGACACTGTATTATTGGGTCCATAATAGGGATTAGACATATAGCTATTAAACTTGTACTTTTTTTGTGTTCCTCTTGGCTTTTGCTTAATTAGTTGAAAATAATAATTTAAACTCCTATGTCTCAATGATTGTATTAGTTCATAATGTGTGCTAATCATTTATTTTATTTTTCCTGCTACTATATAGGTCGAAGCAGACAGCCTGGATCTAAGTTTTACTTTGGTTGAGATTGATTGTGTGCATAAAATTTTTGGTCTGAATAATTAGCTACAAAATAGAGTGTTGATAAACTAGTGCGTGATGTAAGGAGAAAATAGAGTGTTGATAAACTATAGAACATATTTTGATTTGAGGTTAAGGATATCATAAAATTAAACCATAACACAAAATATTGGATATATTAAAGATAGAAAAAATAGATTAGGGGATTACAGTACGCAACGTGTGTAAAAACACAAAATATAAGTGGAAGCGAAAATTAACAACTTTGCCTTCACATAGCGTCCCAACCCCCTCAAAGCTCTTTCATTAGCAAATTAGTTGACTCCTATAGTATATAATTTGAAATTACAAGTAAAGACTCCATACTAAAACTACCACAACTATTCTCAATCGTACTGACTACTTATCTGACCACAACGTGGACTAGCAGCTATAACAGCTATAATTTGAAATTACAAGTTCAAAGCTCCTACGCTACAGCCTACAGTCCTTCAAAGCTCATACGCTACAACTTTAATTCAACCTCACTATCATCAATATTATCAATATAATTAAATAATATCAATCAATCATTAATACACACCTCATCAATCTTAATTCACTATTCATTCACTCACATTATTTTAACTAACCACCAATTCAAATCATCTCTCTCCTACTTTTACATCAAATCAATTTTAATTATTTTATTTTAAATATTATTTTAATATCCCCACTAACAACTAACCATACTAATTTTTTCAAAATTAACCAAACCAAACCAAAAAATCCAAAAACCAAAAATTTTTATATCCAAACATGGTCTAAACTTCTGTCTTCTATATTTAGAAAATATTAAATCCACTCTTATGCTAAGAAAACACAATCAATATTTTACTAGCCTTAAACCTAAACTAAATAATAAACATAGTAGAATATTCTATGCACAATTGATATTTCGTTTCTATTTTTCCTCAAAAAGAAGAATGCCATTAAAGAGTGAAACTTTGGGGTTACGAAAGGGGAACTCTGGACATGGTCAAAAGCTACAAACTCTCAAAGACGTAAACATAATATTGCAAACAAATATTAGGTTATCTTGCCTAACCACATGGGGTGCTTCATGGGGTAATTATAAAACCCTCACCAAGTACTCATTAATTTATTTACTTTTTATCTTTAACTCGAAACTACTCGATAAAGAAAGTAAGTGTATGAATTAACAGTTCTAATAAAATAAGTCTTAATATAAGAATCGTAAGAATAAATATGATGTTATTTTTAGAATAAAGTGATATTTCCTTAAAGCAACTTATGTAATAAATGGAATGGTATTTGAAAACAAAAAGCTAGAAATTTGAAAAATTTAACATTGAAAACTAACTTTGGATCCAAAGAAAATTAATGTGTTCATTAGTATATAATTTCATAAAGACTGCATACATCGTTTTTCCATTTATACTACTCTAACCTACAATACAATTTATAACGTTCATAAGGAATCAACAATACACACAACCAAAGAGAAATGTGAAACCTATGGATGGGATATCTGGCTCTTTCACGTGCTATTTGCGTACTCAATTCTTGATGTTGCACGTGCAACATGATTTTGTATATGTTTATTAGAATACTATATTCTAACAGGCTCCATCAATTCAAGCGAGGTGAGACTTGTAACTCCTAACAATTGTCTCAGTCTGGTGAAGAATTGATAGCTCAATTTTTCACCTGACCTTTGTATCTGATGAAGTGAATATCCAGTTAAATATGATTAGTTTTGGCATGCAAAATAGGATTCGAAGCTAGTGCAATAGCTTCTTGATTATGTTTTCGCCTGAGCCGCAGAGTTTTTTACTAAATGCCCATGTTTTTAGTGCGTATGGCAGTTAGGGGTATAAAAATAATTTGTGTTTGTATATTGGACAACTTTACTTTACTTGGCACTTTTTAGATTTTTCGTTTTCTTCTTTTGGTGTATGTAATTCCTCGGGAAATATGAGCTCCAAGACTTAATTTTTCTCATTTTCCACTCGTATGAAAGACTCAAACATTTTGCCTGACTTCTTTCGACAATACAATAGGAGATAAATACTATGTTTTAGATGTTCATTACTTTGCTTTTGCCCACCTTTTTACTTATGATGATTTTCGTGGTAAAAATTTGTGTCTTGTGTTGGATGTTGGGTTAAGAAATATTGGGTTAGTTTAAGTTCGTAACGTTTAGCTGAATTGTTTAGTCTATGATAATTAGGGAGTTAAAATAATACGTGTTTATAAAATATAAAGATTGAGACTTTGCTATAAACTCGATCACTTATAGGTTTGAATACTCATATTTTATGTCTTATTATTTTAGTACTTACTTCTTTGACTATTACTTTTGTTTATGTATTTCTTATTCGAATCTTTTAGTGTTGGGAGTCGCCTAATATTAGACTTTCTTTTAGTTATTTACGTGTTTTTGTTTTGATCATTAGTTAATTTAGCTTAAAAACCAAATGCAATTAGGTTGTTTTATGACTTTATTTTCTCCTTTTGTGTTTTGCATCTAGTTCGTGATGTTAGGTCCGAATAGCCTACTTGAGAAGACAACATGAGGGGTCAAGATTTTTGTGTACTTGGTTAACAAACTATACAACAAAAAGGAATCGTTTCAAGGGAGGGCAAGTAGGACAGTAAACATTATTAATTAATTGTTTTTGTTTTCTGCGTTTTTCTTGTTTTTGTGGAATTTGGATACTTAAAGTGTTTTTCTTGCTTTCTCTCGTTCTAGTAGCTTTTTCAGTATTTTTTATTAATTAGGTTTTATTCCATTGTTACGTTCACGTATAGAGCTCTCATTTTTGTTTCTGCTAGGGAGACTGCGTCGAGGCACTCAAGAGGAGCCACTCCACGTTGAACATCAATCATATATGTACAATCACTACAAAAAAATGATGTAAATCCAACGGAAATATATTCCATTAGAATTCCAACAGCAATTCCAATAAATATTTCAATGTTATTATTTCTGTTGAAATTATTCCAACGGAAATTCCAACAACAGTATCCGTTGGAATGAGTTTTCCATTGGAATTTCCGTTGGATTTTGACGATTCCAATGGTGGTGGAAATGAAAATTCAAATGAAAATTGCAAATTTCAACGGAAATTTCTACGGTCAAAAGCCGTTGAAAATATATATAGCCGTTGGAATCATCAAATTCCATCTAAAATTCCAATTAAAAATACATTCCAACGAAATATTTTCGTTGGAATCATTCCAACAGAAGAATATTTCGTCGAAATCATTCCAACAGAAGCTATACCATTGGAATATCCGTTGGAATTTACATTGGAATATATTACCATAGAATTTTCCGTTGGAATATAACATTTTTTTTGTAGTGAATTAAAAATACATTATACTCTGGTCTTTTGCAAATCATTTGGTTAAATTATTTAGTACAATTTGCATACTATATTTTATCCGAATTTTAAAATTCTCAAGACAACTAAAGGTGTAATATACTAATATCTAGTATGAGATCTTGCTGCCCATTTATACTTTTATGAAGGACCAATAAACTTTGACAAAAATAAAGGAATATCCAACCGGCGTAACAGTCCAAATTATGAACACTATCATTAACAATACCAGGAAACAGATATTGGGCCGAGAGCCCATTAACATTCAAATTTCTGCCTGAGAGCAAGTCAAATCCCGCATCCACTACGATGGCACCAACACAGATTCACATTCATTTCCTCGTTCAGCTTTGGCCCAAAAAAAAAAATAAATAAATAAAAAATCATCCAAATCCAAATCGAGTATCTTATGATTGAGCTCATATCCATTTGCAAATAAATCTACTACTGTTCCATTTAAAACCTGTAAAAGTAAATAAAAAATATGAGTTCTTCACAAACAAGCTCGGTTCTTGTTTAACAAATAAGTTCGATCAGCACATTTGAATAAATGTGAGTTGAATTGAATTGTGTTCGCAAAAGTATAACTCGTTTTAACATCTCTAGTAAGATCACCAAATTTGAATAGAGCAAATATAAAGTTTTTGCCCATTAACACTGATGGCAAGTTCTCCCTAGTGAGAGTTTTTCCTTCGAGTGGGGTTTCAGTTCCTCAGTTGTGGATTCTTGCTATAGATCGCTCGTAGACTTGGCTTTATCTTTCCTTTCTCATCGTTCCCCTTTCTTTTTTCTTTTTGTGTTTACTACTTCCTTGTTCTCCTGATTGTATTTCCTTTTTAATTTTTTAGGTTTCCTTCCTCAGTTAGGGTTTTTGTTCTTTCTCCTGTATATCTTCGGTTTCCTTGGTCTCCTGTTTAGTTTTTCTTGCGTTTTTAGTGTCGTGTAGTATCAAGGTGGTTATTTTCTATTCTGGGCTGGTAAGGTTTCTATCTCTAGGTTCAAAATGGGTGACGATTTAACAGAGAAAATGAAAAAGTTCCGATTGTCTGAGAAAGAGGAAAAAGGGTTGGACATTGCAGAGGATGACATAGCGCTAGGGATTAAGGATTGTCATCAAAGTTTGATAGGTAAAGTCTTTGGGGAGAAAAAACCTAACTTCAGTGGTCTCAAAGCAACGCTGGGGAGCATCTGGATAACTCAAAAGCCTTTCACAATTAGGAATATAGGCCATAATCTGTATCAATTCATCTTTCAAACCGTGGAGGATAAGACCAGGATATTCCATGGAAAGACATGGTCCTTTGATGGCCAATATATTCTTATGAAGGAATGGAGTCCTGGGAACCATTCTTTTTCTGAAGATGAGGAGAAAATCAAGATTTGGCTTCAAATTCATAACCTCCCCCTTCATTGGATTACTGAGGAAATTGGTTTGAAGATTGGCAGCCTCATAGGAACAGTTCTGAATGTTGTGGTGCCAGGAACGGGAGGAGCAAATGGCATGTTCCTTAGAGTGCAGGTGGAGTTAAAATTGAAAGAGGCTATTCTCAGAGGCACAAATCTGAAACTTGGTCGGGAAACTCAATGGGTAGAGTTCAGGTATGAAAATCTCCAAACTTTTTGCTTCTATTGTGGATTAATAGGACATCTTGACAAAAACTGTCTTGTTAAAAAAGAGGACATGTCTAGAAATGTGCTTAACTCTGGTCAATTTGGTGAGTGGTTGCGAGCCTCTTCTTTGTTTGAGAGTGAGAATAGATTTTATAAGTCTTCTGACACTGGAGGTACTAGTGCAGGACTTTCTAGGAAAAATCCTAGTAGAGAAACTGAGTTGCATTGTAAAGGTGTTGGGGATGAAAACACTTCAATTAGAGGTGAGTCATCTCCTTTGGTGCAAAAGAGTGGGGCCATTTGTGTTGGGGTTAGTGGTAGCTCTGAGATTGGTAAAGAAGTTGCTAATGATGCAGCTATTTTACCTACTGAACTTCCTGTGATAGATCCCTCTAATCCTGAAAATGATGAACAACTTGTTGAGGTTGCTATACAACCAGGTTCCTTTGAGCAGAAGGTTGTGCAACAGAGGAGGAAATTTACCCCTAAAAAATCCAAAACTGCTATCTCAAGTGTCCCTGAGGACATGGTAGTTGAACCTACTCAGTCTTTTAAAGATGTTGGAGATATGAATAAAGTTTTGAATAAGAGAAAATTGCCTGAATGGGCACAATTAACTTCTGATTCTAATTTTTTTGGTGAGACCAAGAAAAAAATGAAATTTTCTGAGTCTAAGGATAAGGCAGTGGTGGAAGGGACCAGCCCCAATTGGTCCCTGGGGTCTCAATGAGAGTATGTGTGTGGAATTGTAGAGGTTTGGCAGGACCCTCTACAATTTCCCAATTGCGAGAGGCTATTAAAACTCACCTCCCTGATTTAATTTTCCTTTCTGAAATTAAAAAAAAACAAAAATTTGTTATTACTGTTTGTAAAAATCTTAAATTTGATAATAGATGGCTTTTTTGAAACCCAAATGGCTCTCGGGGTGGCTTATTATTGTATTGGTCTAGCAAGGTTAATATTATTGATTATTTTCAATTTGACTTCTGTATTGGGGTTAAATTTTCTCTCTCTGGATCTGACCTGGTTCAATGGGGTATTTTTGTATACTTTAGCACTGATTCTGAAGTTAGAAAAGTGCAATGGGAAGTGCTCTTCAGATTGAAAAATCAGTGGGGGGATAACTGGTTTTTGGGAGGGGATTTTAATGCCATTTTGTCCAATCAAGATAAAAGAGGGGGTAGAATGAGAGATCAGACTAGTTTCTATCCTTTTAGAGAATTTGTGAGCAAGATGGAGATGTGTGAGGCCAAAACTATAGGATACCATTTCACCTGGTCTAATATGAGACAAGGTTCTGAAATGGTTGAAGCTAAACTAGATAGATTTTTCTTTTCCTCCAACTGGCTTTCCTTATTTCCTAATGTCATTGTTAAGCACATTTCTGTCATTTCCTCTGACCACAGTATGTTGCTTATGGAGAGTGATCAAAACCTGACTCATAAACCTAAAAGATTTGTGTTTGATGCTCGGTGGGTCAATCTAGAGGGTTTTAGAGAAACTGTTGCTATGGCTTGGAATCAACCAGTCTCTGGTCCTTTGTTGTTTAGCATTCAAGCTAGAATTAGGAATGTCAGAGTTGCCCTCCTTAATTGGAAGAAATCTCAGCTTACTAACTCTGCCAAAAAGATTGCCCAATGCCAGGCTGCTCTAAAACTTTTGGAATCCCAAGGAGTTAATAGAAATTGGGAAGAGTGGAATAGCTGGAAAGAGCAACTTCATCATGCTTATTTAGCAGAGGAAATTTACTGGAAGTCCAAAGCCCGAGTTCAATGGTTGAGTGAAGGTGATAAAAACACCAAATTTTTTCAAGCTTCTGTTCATCAAAGAAGAAAAATTGGATGTCTTGATAATCTGATCAATTCTAGGGGTAGTAGATGTTCCACTGAGCAAGATATAGTTGGAGAGCTTGAATCATATTTCCAAAATTTGTTCTGCTCTTCCTTTCCTAATGTTGAGGGATGTGACTTGAATGGGATTCCTATCTCCATTACTGAGAATATGAATGTGAAGTTGACTTGTGCAGTTTCTGAGGAAGAGATCCTTTTTGCCCTCAAGGAAATGGAGCCTTCTAAAGCCCCTGGAATAGATGGGATGACCACCTTGTTCTTCCAATCCTGTTGGTGTATTGTTAAGGACCATCTTTGTGCTGCTATTTGTAATTTTTTTGAGTCTGGTAAAATGCCTAAAGCCATAAACCACACTGTCCTAACCTTGATCCCCAAAAAACCTAATTCTGTCCTTGCTTCTGATTTTAGGCCAATAGCTCTTTGTACAGTTTTATATAAGATTATTTCCAAAGTCATTGCTAATAGACTTAAAGTTGTTTTGAACCCTTGTATCAATGATTCCCAAGCTGCTTTTGTTCCAGGAAGACAAATTCTTGATAATGCTGTTTTAGCTAATGAATGTATTCATCATATCAACAGCAAAAGACAAGGGTCAAAGTGTCTTATGGCTGTGAAATTGGACATGGCCAAAGCCTATGACCGAGTTGAATGGCATTTCCTTCTTGTAGTATGTAAAAAAATGGGGTTTTCTGATCTTTTTGTGTCCTGGTTGTTAGCTTGCATCAATTCTGTCTCTTACTCTTTCAATATTAATGGTCAGGTTCTTGGTATTGTTAAACCCACTAGGGGTATTAGACAAGGGGATCCTATATCCCCCTATCTATTCATCATTTTGTCTGAAGCACTGTCTAATTTGATTCATCAGGCATGTGTTCTCTCTCTTTATTCTGGTATTAAGATCAGCAGATTTTCTCCACCTGTTTCTCATCTTCTATTTGCTGATGATACCATCCTTTTTTGTACAGCAGATATGTTTCATGCTTCTTTGATTTTATCTATTCTTGATAATTTTGGATCAGCCTCTGGACAAACTGTCAACATGAGTAAGTCCTCTATCCTTTTTTCCAAAAATACCTCTGAGCTTTCTAAAACAAGAATCTGTAGGCTGTTGAATGGAATCCAATGTGTGAGGAGTTCTAAATATCTTGGCCTTCCCTTAGGGGTTGGCAGATCAAAGAGGGATACATTCCAATATGTGCTTCAAAGTGTTACTAACAGATTGTCTTGCTGGAAAAACAATTTTTTGAGTTCTGCAGGTAAGGAGGTCATCATCAAATCTGTCATTGAAGCTCTCCCTACGTATGTCATGTCATGTTTCAAGCTTCCAAGCAGTATTTGCAATGATATTAGTAAAGCTGTTGCCAATTTCTGGTGGGGAATCAATGAACAGGGCAAAAACAAAATCCACTGGGTGTGTTGGGATGAATTGGCCAAACCTAAAGAGTGTGGGGGGTTGGGATTTAGAAATATGCAGGCTTTCAATGATGCTCTACTAACTAAGCAATTATGGAGAATTCTCACTCATCCAAATTTGCTTATTAGTAGAGTTCTTAGGGGCAAATACTTTTACAGATCAAGCCTGTTAGAGGTTCAACCTAGGAATGGGGACTCATGGTTGTGGAAAAGCTGGGTGGGAGTGCTGAAATTTTTGAAGTTAGGTATTAGATGTCAGGTGGGGGATGGGAAAACCATTAATATCTGGAATCATCCTTGGCTGCCTAGAAAGCATAATCCTACACCTGTTTGTAGTTTTCCTAGGGATAGAGATAGTTTGTGTTGGGTGAGTGAGTTAATAGATGCTGAGAGAGTGGGGTGGGACAGAGATCTAGTGAGGCAAACTTTCATTCCTGAGGAAGCTGATATTATTTTGAATATTCCTCTTTCTGTACTGGGTAAAAAAGATAGATTTTATTGGTCATTTGGGAAGTATGGTCATTTTAGTGTTAAAACTGCCTATGAAGCTTTTGTGAAGAACACTTTGGTTATCAGGAACAGAGCCAATTCTAGTGGTGGGACTGATGTGGAGTGCAAGATTTGGAGGAACACTTGGAAATTGCCAATCAAAAATAAAATAAAACACTTCTTATGGAGGTGTTGGTTCAAGAGCATCAGTACCAAGGATGTGATGTATAGGAGGAAGCTAACAGAGGATCCCATATGCCCTATTTGTGGACTATCTGCTGAAAATCTTGAGCATATCTTGTTCAAATGTCACAAAGCTGTTCTGGTATGGAAACTAAGTGGTATTACTTGGAATATGTTCACAACTCAGAATTTCACTTTTAGAGACTGGTGGGGGGAAGTGTGCAGTGCTCCTCAAATCAGTAACTTGAAAGACAGAATCAGCCTCTCTTGCTATCTTTTGTGGTGGCTATGGAGGACAAGAAATGGATGGATATTCCAACAGCATAGGGTCAGTGAGAGAGCTATTGTTGAGGAAGCTAGAAAAGAATGGATTGAATATGGCGACATCCAGAGCATATCAAGATCTATTGGCTGCTCCTCAATTCACATCCCTGTTGTTCATGAAGAGACATTTTCCCAAAAGGTAGGACAGAGAATACTCAAGGTCAGTGCCTTATGCTCTTCTTTGAATCAACTAGAGATGTCCTGTGTTTCTGACAAAGAAGGAGAAGAACCCCAACATTGGAAAGATACTCTCAGATTTGCAGGCTGTGTTGAAGGTAGATGGCTTGCAACTGTGAGATGGGCTATGATGAAAGCTTCTCAACTGGGATGGGACCATTGTTATTACAGAATCCCCCACAAAGGTGTTGCAACAAAACTCACTCAAAGACTTCTTCATTTTGATTCTTGTTGTAATATCATTGCGGTGGATGTATTTGATCTTATGGACTCATTCTCTTCTTTGGATTTTGGTTTTGATGGTTAGGTGTTTTGTTTGTCTAATTGATGTAGTGTTGAAGGGGTAGATGATCATATCCCCTGTGTTGTATGCATTCACTTGAATGCCCGATTGTAAATTTCTTTTGAGGTTATATGAAATCTAATTATCGTTGGAAAAAAAAAAAAAAGAATAGAGCAAATCAAAGGCCTGGAAGAGAAGACTTTTAGGAAGTGGATTTGAAAACCGGTAAAAGTGGCACATTGAAGTAAACAATTTCAAGTAGGGGTTGATATAAAGAAATACAAGTAAAGTAATAAATATAGTTTAAAACTTAATAATATTTTTTTGCAATTGGTTCTTCATATATAATATATAAAATCAATAATTTTTTGAAGATTCTATTTGGATTCCATATCACATATAAAAAATATTACATTTACCGTCTTTAATTTGATATATATAGTGCATATATAAATTAAAAAATAGTTATATTTTTTTTCTTGATAAATATATCTATAAATCTTAATTAGTATTGATGATTTAATAGAAACTTTTATATCACACATAATTTCATATCGTTAGATAATCTTATATAACGTGAGTTAGAAAAAAAAAAATTATTACAACATAATACAAGAGAGTTGTACGGGTACAATTGCAATTTTAAATAAGAAATTGTAAGAAACGGGGTAAAATGGGTGCGGTTCCACGAACGTGAAGCGCGCCATAATAGGGTGAGTTTAAATGTATTATAGTCAAGTTCCATCTCAAAATCAATTGGTGAAAGGAGGAGTAGCTCACTAGCATTAGAGCATCCACAATACTTGGGTTCAATTCCAAAAAATTACATGTCACATAAGAAATAGACTCAGTCTAAAAAGATATATTCTCCAATGCAAATAAAAGTAGACTGGGTCCTGCTGATGTGGCAGCCAAAAAAAGAAACTCGATCTCCCCTTAAGTTTATTCTAAACCCAAGTAGAGACCTAGTCTCTTTACATTGAAGTGAATTTTATTAATTTTACATAGTTTTATCCAACTATGAGTTGTCTCACATCATTGGAGTGGATTTTATTAATTTTTACATAGTTTTATCCAACTTAATTTTACATAATTAAGTTGGGTCTATTTTCCCGAATGTGAGACAACTCACAAGTGATATTATATTCTAATAGAAATTAATATTTAAAATATTAAAAAATATTTAATTTTTATATGTATATATAGTAGAGAAATGCTATAGGTACATAATATTGTAAATAAGAGTGTACATAACACTCACATTGAGTGAGACCTACCTAAAATGAAAAAGAAAATGCTACATGTACATAATAAATGTACATAGAGGTGTATATAACACTCACATGGAGTGAGATCCACTTGATTTTTTTATTTTTGATAGGTCCCACTCAATGTGAATATTATTTACACCCCTATATACAATATTATGTACATATAGCATTTCTCAAATAAAAAATCAAGTGGACCCCACTCCATGTGAGTGTTATGTACATCTCTATGTACATTTATTATGTACTTGTAGCATTTTTCTATGTAGTATACAATATTATATCTGGCATAGTTTTTTTACCCCGGACTGGCCCTGTGGGTTGACTGAGACCCGATCGACTGGTCTGGGTAGGTGATTTGGATCGAGTTATTATTAACTTTGTCAAACCCGATCAAAACCCAGTCAATTCGGCCTTGATCCGGTCGACCCAGTCGGATTAACCCGGTTTGACGTCATTATAATTTTTTTTTCATGGTTTAAAAATATTATTTTATTTTAAAGATAAAAACTATGTATATATATTCATATCGTAGATATTTATTATGAAATACAATATTATTAACACTTTGATGTATAAAATTTATATTCAAGATATTTATTTTTGTTACTTTTACGTATATTAATAGGATAATATTTATATATATATATATAATTTTAAAAAATTAAAATTAATTATTCGATTCAACAATTGACCAGATGGTTTAACTGTTGACCCAGAGACCTGTTCAGGCGATTCTCTAGACGAGTTTAAAAGTTATGTACAATTTAATGTATATTTATATAATAAAAATAATATATAAATAATTTTAAAAATTTTTAAATTCAATTATTCTATTCAACAATTAACACTATTGACTGGCCGTTGAATTGTGATCTGATGAACCGGAAACATATCGGTCAATTCTAAAAACTAGTTTAAATTAAAGGTGGGAATGGGTGTCAATTGTCACGTGCAGGCACGGGTGAAATTACTCCACACGCATTTGGTTTTGGGGAAGATCCACTTTTGGTCCTCCATGTTTAGGGGGTATCCAGACTGAGTCCCTATTATGTTTTGGTGCCCAATTTTAGTCCTTAAAACAAACAAATGTAGTCCCTATAATTGAAAAAAATCCACTTTTAGTCCTCCATGTTTTGGGGTATCCAGAGTTAATCCCTATTATGTTTTGATGCCCAATTTTAGTCCTTAAAAAAAAATGTAGTCCCTTTACCTCAATTTATGTGAATTAACGGTCCATTTTTGCTCGACCGTATGTTCTTTATTTTTTTAAAATTTGTTGACTAATGTCAACTTTGACCAAAGAAAAATAAAAGAAAATTTAAATGCTGAAAAAGTAAAATAAAAGACAAAAATAGTGAACTGCAGTGAAACGTAAAAAAAAACCCACCCTAACCGCCTAGGGACTAAATCCGATCAAATGGATGGAAATGGTGTGGTATTTTGTAGATGTGAGCTGGTTGCAAAGTTGACTACATGCTGGAAGGATGATAATCTCGGGAGAAGATTCTTGAGTTACCCTCTATATCCTGTAAGTACTTTCCGTGAACTTCAATTGGAATATGATAAGAAATGGTTAAAAAACAGAGGGTTGATAGGTGCAATTTTTTTCGATGGCATGACCCGGAAATGGGTGCAAGAGCATTAGCTGTGATTCCAGGCTTGCTCCGCAGCTCGAATGCTAGGGAAATAGAAATCAGACGAGCAAAAATTTTAATTTAATTTAGTGCAATTTCTTGTTTTAGTTTAATTTTTTATTAATATATTTTCAGCATTTAAATTTTCTTTTATTTTTCTTTGGTCAAAGTTGACATTAATCAACAAATTTTAACAAAAATAAAGAACATCACAGTCGAGCAAAAATGGACCGTTAATTCACAGAAATTGAGGTAAAGGGACTACATTTTTTTGTTTTATGGACTAAAATTGGGCACCAAAACATAATAGGGACTCATTTTTTGTTTTAAGGACTAAAATTGGGCACCAAAACATAATAGGGACTCATTTTTTTGTTTTAAGGACTAAAATTGGGCACCAAAACATAATAGGGACTCATTTTTTTTGTTTTAAGGATTAAAATTGGGCACCAAAACATAATAGGGACTCAGTCTGGATACCCCCTAAACATGGAGGACCAAAAGTGGACTTTACCCTTTGGTTTTTGTTAGCTCAGATTCTGAATGGATAAGATTTTTTGTCGGCATACAGGCAAAGTACGTACTATTGTAGCTGTACAACTGTTTGGTAAATCGTTGATTTTTTAAGTCTGCTTCAATCATGTTACACTTGAAATAATCCATGGTAAAACCAAATATCAAATATAAAGTGGACCATAAAACAAATTCCTGCTTGCACACACTGAAACAACACGCATTGGACGGTGCATACAATTTGCAGGAGCTCTCTTAATAATATATACTGTAATATTTACATTTTATCCTTATTATATACAGCATTTGTATTTTACTATTATAGCCTTAGTTGCTATTGTAAAAGCATACTTTGTACTAAAGTTGCTATTTGTATTTGACAATTTCAGTTGTAATGTCCTTTTAGTATAAACTAGAACTGACCCATGCGATGCACGAGATGGTATATTTTTTTGAAATTTGTTTAATATTAACATTAAATTTAATGCACTTTGTAGATATGTAACAAATGAAAAATGAAAAAAAAAAATTAAAACTTCATAAATTAGTAAACAATTCTTTGTACACAACGTTTTGAGTCTGATTTGGTGGCAAGTCATCGTCATTACAGACTGACATCTTCAACCCACTTCGATTGGTGACACGAGAGGTGGCAACATATAATTGCCCATGATTGAACACCGAGGAGAATTGGGGAAGACGCGAATTAGAAGGGTGGTATACGATTTAAATTAGAACTCAATTCAAATGTTTATGGGTTTCAATAATATATCCAAACCAAATATGTAGCGTATTAACAATCACTATCCCATAGGAAATTATAAAAGTTGTAATTTAATACTATTTTAACAAAATAGTTGTGCTTATAACATGCAATTTGATTTTAAGCCAAATATATAGTATATGTTGTTTGATTAGTTATTTGGTTTGTACATTTATACTTATAACAACTTAATATTAATTTTTTGTAAAATCTGGAATTAATCTGATTAGTTATATATTCCTAGTAACAAACATTCCAATGGGTCGTTTGATTATAATCCGATTAGTTATATATTTTATAGATATATACTTGTAACAACCATTAGAATTTTGGATATTTGATAAATGTAATTACTAAAGCCACATCATGTGTCACATCAGATTGTGGCATAGCTTATGGAATATTATGAATTCTAAGAATCATTAAACTATTGGTATATGATTTAAATTAGTAATTGAGTTCAAACTTATACGTTGGTTTGTTCAAAGGATTGTAGATATTGTTTTATAACAATAAAAGGTATTTTAAGCTTAATATATTATTTTAAGTAAATCGAATTAGCCTAACAAAAAAATCATGCTTATCATTATTTTATTTTATTTTTTCAATTGGATATCCGATAATTGTCATATTTATGGTTGAAGATTTATATTTGTAACAACCAAATATATTTTGTGCGCTGTAAATTCTGACAATTAGTTTCTGTGTTCATGATTTAAAAATATAATTTAAAAATAATTCTCAGTTGATTAAATTTATAACAAACATTTATCTGATTAACATTAGGATTAGGATGTTTGCAATATGAATATTTGGTTAGTTTAATTTTTTGTGTGTATATCTTTTTAGTGTGAAATATACAAATTTTAGATTAATATATTTTCATTGAATACAGGTATAAGATAGAAATTATAACATTTACCATTTTATTTTGTATTGAAATAAAATATTAATATATACAATATAAAAAAAACAAAAACCATCACTGTCAGTTTGATATATGATGCAATCGTGTAACAGAAATATAATTTTGTTTTTTGTGATAAATAAATCATTTGTTCATATTACAACTTAAATATTAATAATTGGAGCATACGAAGAACTAATGTTAAAAATAAACGAAACAAATATAAAATAACCAACTCATTTATTTATTGAAATCAAATGCCTCGGCAACTATACGTTATCTAGAGGCTCCTAATTAAAGCAAATATGAAACGTCGGAGAAACATTGATCAAAATCAACACGAAAATGGAATCCTAATAAATACCAATTGTTCATCAGATCCAACTAAATCTACGCATAAACTTATCAAATTTTTAATTAATAAATATTTATCTTAAACTCGACTCTCATCACCACCTTCTTTATTGTCCTCGATCAAATTTCCATCATCATCGATCTTGGCTTTCTTTTTATTGCTTGTAACAGATTCATCAGCTAAATGACCAGAAAGGTTGTGTTTTGCAATTGAATTGTCTTCAACAACATCATTGGATTGAACAACCTTCATTGAGGCTGAGACCTCATCTTCTAATGTGGCTTCCTACAATATTAGTATAACATACTTTTATCAATGTAACAATAAACAAAAACGGCATCAAAAGACAATTATTTAAAAGTTTAATTTACCGCAGCTTCTTCTCTTTCTAAGAGAGTTAAGAAATCATATTCCTAAAAAAGACAAATATAAAAAGTTAATTAACAAAATATGTTAGAAAAATATACAAATACATATTTAAAATAAAGATACTAATAAATTATTCGATTATAAATAAGACTTACATCATGCTCAACGACCCATTGGCTATACTTGGAAACCAAGTTTCCATCCATAACAACTCTAAGTACAGAAAATGAATTTTTTGATACTGACAAGTCAGATTATATGCCAGTATTCGTCCACCCTAATACAATACATGTAGAAAATTTCGTTAAAAAAAATAATAAACGGTTTAACACAAAATAATACATATAAACAATAATAAAAGAATAAATTACCTCCGAATTGTGAATGATGATCTCAAGAATATTTCGATAATTGCGGACATCTTTAACTCGTTGAAACATCCTAATTATGCGTAGCTTGACAGGTGGCTTATGAGTTCTTTTGATATCCTTGATCAATCCATAATCTAGAGTCATCATGGTGATGGAAAAGCTGATAAAAAAAAAATAAATCATTTTTTATGAGTTCTTTTGATATCCTTGATTAACCCATAATCTAGAGTCACCTTGAATGTTGATGGAAAAGCTAATAAAAAATACTTTTTTTTTGGGATGAGTCGTTTGTTGTTGAGATTTATTTTTCAATGTTGGTGATATTTATATAGTCATCGTATATATCCCATATGCCTATGCCTATAAATCTAATTTAAAAATTGATTTACTTATGGATTTTAAATTGATTTGGATTTACATAACAAAAAATATAGATTAGAATTCACTTAACAAAATGATGTTTATCCAGTTTGTCATATCAACGTGACACGATTTTTAGCAAAATAAATAGAGTTTGTTAACATCAAACTATGTTAGGATTTTTGGATATTGTTGGATTTTTTTTTATTTTTTTATTTTAGTTACTATGATTTTTGAAATCTCGATAATTTGGGTGCGAAGTGCGATATATATGCGATCATAATTTGCGCACGATAATTTGGTTATGAATTATGTTACCAAAATAAAGCAAACAGTATCCGATCATATTGTGCTATTTGTTTTGGAAAAAAAAAATGATGCAATAAATTTTCTACACCTTAGAAAGTTTTCGGCGATGAGATTTGTGCAAGAATAATTATGAACTTTGTTACCAAAAAATGGGCCAAGAAGTCCGATCCTATTTGTTAATATAGATATAGATTGTTAACTATGTTCCACATTTTGGCGTATTTCGGCGAAAAAAAAAAATTAATAAATACTCAAAAATTAGTTAAAAGATTGGATAACTATGAAATTAATAAATACTCAAAAATACTAAAAAATTAGTTAAAAGATTGGATTGGATAACTATGAAATTTCGTCGTGAAACAAATTTCTCTTAATAACTATGAAATTAGTTAGCAAAATCTGATCGGATAAAAGATACATAATTATATAATTATATAATAATCATTTTGCCTTCAATTTCAAATTGCATGGTTTTTTAAAAATTGCTAAAATTAGTATGTCAACATGGTTGACTAACTATTTTTTAAAAGTTTCCACGAATGATTTATTGACCTCTTTTTTTCAATATATATAGATAGGACAAAGCAGGTCATTCGTAACCCTAATTCCATTTTATCAAAGTTATGTTTTTCTCTGCGCCTCTCTCTCTCTCTCGTTTCTTCTTTCCTGTTTCTCTTCTTTCATAAATAATTTTTAAGAAATTTTATTTTTTATTTTTTTGGCGCATCCTACTGGCGAGGCCGGACACGACTGTGCACGTTCGGCCTCGCCGGTAGGACGCCACCGGCAAGGCTGGACGCACCAAAAAAAATAAAAAATTATTTACAAAGTAAAAGAAAAAAATATATGGTCACTCTTCAATGTCTTGCCGATGTCATGGTACTTTTTTGGCATTTTTTCAAAAATTTTTTGACCGCCAAAAGAGCCGTATAAAATCGAGAGGAAATGAGTAGAGAGAGAGTAGTGAAGGGCAAAAACATAATTGGGGGGCGGCGGTGAATAGTAATAGGGGGGCCGTGAATAACAATTCAGTTTTGTTTACAATTTTTTTCATTTCCTATTCAGTTCATACTCAAAATATAACTCAACTTTAACTCAATCTCACTATCATTAATATTATTAATGTAACTAGTAATTACCTGCGCGATGCACATGGAAATTATTATCTATACGCTTTTTAGAATGCACCTTTGTATATAAATTATGTAATAATGCAATGATCATGATCATAAAAATAGACATATAAACATATAATTAAACTGAAAAGATCATATATTATTGAACACTTCCCTATATACAACATTGTTGGTTTGATTCTTTGGCATGTCATCTTCGCCACAAATTAAGATTTTCAAACATTTTCGGTTAGTGACATGTGAGACAACAATATATAACTGGCCATGACTGAATACTGGTTTCTTAAGAATAAGCAAACATGAGATAAAGATTGTCCCTGGCTCTTGTTTATAGTCATGGCGCAAGAAACCATAATGAGAAATTGCCGCTGTTGAAACTTAAAAGGAATTCTAACATCAGAAGGAGTTATGGCCATTCTTGGAATCAACACCTTATCACCAGCATGATCTCCTGTGAGTATCTTACACTCAAGAACATGACTGGATAGCTTTGTCACAACCAATCGTGTCTCGTTACACAAACCCATAGAATGATCCATGTTCCGCAACAACATGACCGGAGTTCCAATTGTCAAATACAACTCATGGTTCGGTATTCCGGAACACTTGATACTATTCAAAAACTCAGGCGTATGGAGATGAGACAAAAAATCATTATTAGAATCCGATTTGCATGTACTATCAAAACTCAAGTACATACGACCATCCAACAAATTCAATGATGTCATGTACTCATTGATAGACTCGGTCACATCCAACGTCGGCGCTATAATTCAAATTACAAATCAACTCCCAATTTTTCAAAAATTTTTAAAAAAAGTTATCAATTGTAGTAAAATCTAAAATTTTAGGCGAGAACTTTTTTTCAACTTAAAGTAAATCCCTATTGTTATTTTATAATATTAGATTGAATTTCCAAAAGAACTAAGTCAAAGGTTTTGACTCAAATTTTTTATCAAGTTTCTATAAATGATTTTTTAATCAACCTCTTTCAATATATAGATATATAGATATATAAGTACATATATAGTACTCCCTCCTTTTTTTAATAAGTATCGTTTTGAAAAGTTGCACAGTAATTAAGATTTTTTTTTTTGTAAATAATAACCCTCATTAATGAGGATAGAGATGGATGTTTTGAGAAAAGATGAAGAATGAATATGAAAAGATGTAGTGTATTTATTAGCTAGATTGAGGTAATAATGAAAAAATATGTACAAAAGATCCAAAACGTCATTTATTTGGTTAATTGTTCATGGGGAAAAAGTGCTTAATGTTATTGCAAGCTCAATCCGTGAGTTGGTTGATGCCTACCCTCCGAAAAGAAATAAAGTCAAAATGACATTAAAAAAAAAAAGGAGATAGTATCTATTAATATATAAGAAAAACAAAGGATTTATTATATATAATAATTTAAAATTTACCAAGAATGTTTAAATTACTTATAACGTAACTTGTTTTATATGGCTTGATGTTACATTTACATTGATATATTTTGATCTCCTACAATCATGCTCCCTAAGTAACTAATAAATTAGATATCCTTGGTGTATATATTTCACATGTGACCTTTCAATTCAGAAAGAATCAATTGACATTATCCTCATCCACAATTCAACATCATCTTCCCGGTTTTTTTGTTAAGAAATTGATTCTAATATTGCTTTTAAAAAATCTCATTTTTTTTACTCAAATTGCACGTGCTTTTTAACAAATTTTCCTAAATTAGTAAGTCAAACAAATTAATTTCAAACATTCTATCTAAGTATTTTTCCAACAACCTTTTTATATATATTAAAAAGAATTATTATTTACTACTGAAAATGAAGCCGATTTTCCTACCAATAAATTGATTATTATCAAACAAATTGATCCGAATATTTTTTTAAACAAAATAAAAAATCATCATTTTTTTCTAAAAATGCAACCGAATTTTCCTAACACTGCACCGATTTTTTTACCAAATAAATTGAATTGAAAATAATTTTAATAAAAAATTGAAACAATTTGTTAATGTTTATGCAACTGTCTTTTTCCTAAAGAAAATGATATGAACTTAACAAAAAAAAATGATATGAACTTACCAAAATCTCGGTAAAATATGGTTAAGAAAAACATAAGAATTCAAAAAAATTGATGCATTTAAATTTTGAAAAGTTGCACACAATTTTTCCTAAATAATTGGATAAGGTGACTTTAAATATCAAAGATAAATCGCTTTTGTTACCAAAAATGTGGACACAATTTTGAATGTACATCTCGTCCAAATATCAGTTTTATTCTAAAATGAAAATTGCACGTGGTTTTATCCAATTTACACACTTTTTTTAAAGAAAAAATTATTCAATAAAATTGGAAGAATTGCTTAAGAATTATACAACTATTTGTTTCCTAAATTCGTATCCAATTTGTACGGTCTTTAAGTTAATTTGTATTTAGAATTATTTTCATAAATAATTGACACATTTTTTGCATAAGAATCTCTAAATTTGTTACCAAAATATATGATTTAAATTTTGGTACAAAAAATAAAATATGATGCGAAAAAAATGGGATTCAAATTTTGCCATAAGAATTTCCAAATTAGTTACCAAAAAAATAGGATTCATATTTTGTTACTAAAGATTCACATGTATTTTTTCGAACTTTCCATTTATAGTAAGTCAATTGTTTTATTTATTAGGTCAAACTTTCTATTAATGTATTTTTTCAACAACCTCTTTATATATATATAGATTAAATAATACCAAACAATCACTCCTATACATCACATCAGTTTTTGTTCACTATTTAACCACTAACATAATTTTAACTAATCATCAATTCACATTATCTTTCTCCTTCTTTTATATCAAATCAACTTTAATTATTTTATTTTAGATATTATTTTTATATAAACTAAAAATATTACTAACAACTAACCATACCATTTTTTTTCAAATACTCAGTTTAACAAAAAAAAAGTAAAAATCATTTTGAGTATATTTGTATAGAAACACGCCCTTAATATATTGGTAAAAGACTTTTTCGTCACATCAATTTAATGATTGATGTTATTTGAGTAAAAAAATCTTGCTCAAATATTATTTTAATATAAACTCAAAATCTCGCTCAAATTCAATTCAACCAATTTTTTCAAAACTAATCTATATATACACACAGACACAGACACACACAGACACACACATACACACACACACACACACACACACACACACACACATATATATATATATATATATATATATAGTTACAATGGCATATTTACTTTATTATTATTTTTTTTTTAATTAAAACCTTAAACAACTCACTAATCAATGGATATTTAATATCTCTCTATATATATGTATAATTGCTAACAAAAAATTTAATAAACTTATTTAGATTTTTTATCTTTTTTCATTACAATCCAATATTTTTTTTAAACCAGTAATTGAAACTCAATTAATTACTTTTTTCATATAATGGTTAATTAAAGTATAATCTTGTTTTTAATTATTATATTATATAATAATTATTACTAAAACTAACCAATTATAATTTACACTAAATGATATATGAAAGTTGAATAAGTATAAAAAATTATATTAATTTTTTTTCTTAAACTATTTATTGGTCTTAAATATTTTTTTAATAAACTAATTGTCTTTAGGGGTAAACCAAACCTATTAAACTTTTAATAATAATACAATAAGGGAGGTCGAAGTCTAGTTACAGGAGATTAAGGTTTGTCGTGGGTAAGACACTCCGACAAGATACTTTTAATAATAATAATAATAATAATAATAATAATAATAATAATAATAATACTTTTTAAGCTAATTAACGGGTCATGATCTTTAAAATTTATAAAAACTATCTTATCCATTTTATTTTATGTAATCAATATAGTGATGAAGTTGAATACTTTTATAATGTTTATTTTTATTAATGACAGAAATTTTAAATGAATATAAATTATAATTTAAATATTATACATATGCATATAATTTATAATAATTTAAACATATGTCCATCTCATCGAATACTAGTTCTCATTAACCAACGAATTCAATGAAAACAAAAATAACTCAAACTAACTCATGTCCAAGCTATTAAAATATGCTCAAAAGTTTTACCAGTTCACCGCGTATGCATAGGATAGGCTCCTTTGTTTTAAAACGACGATATTTTCTTCACTCTCTCAATCAGTATCCTCCTCTGTAGCAATTTTCACACTGAATATCAGATTACATTCCCCTCTCTGAGTGTCTTCCCTTTCTGTAAGCTTTTTTTCCAGATCTCATCACCTTTATCTTTCTCGATCTTTCCAATTTTGTGGTTGATTGTGGGTTTTTTACATTTTTTTTTATCTTCATATGGAGTTGCTGTAGTTCGATTTTGTTTTTTGGTTTTTTTGTTTGTTGATGTTTAACTGATGTGGCAGGTGAGAATCTATGGCGCAGATCTTGCTTCATGGGACTCTTCATGTGACGATCTATGAAGTGGATAGGCTGCACTCTGGAGGTGGGGGCAATTTTTTCAACAAGGTATATAAGTTCTTTCTGCTGAAGTTAACTGGTTTTTTTCCCTTTCTGAAGATAAAATTGTCGGTATGTGTCTGTAGGTGTGGTTTCTGCTTAAGATTNCATGTATTGGGTTGAAATTTCTTGCTGGTTAATGGATTTTGTTAGTTTGTATAGTTTGTCCTAGTATGGGTATGATCTCCCGGCTCTTTGAATTTTTTCGTTTGCTGTGTGTTAATGAAAGTGAAGCTGTAACAGTTTGGCAATCAAATGTAATGAAGGGAAGTACTGGGTCGGTTTATTTTGATTTAATGGTCTACGCTTGGGTCAAGATATGTAGTCTTTGATGCTAGATTGTAAGTCTGATGAGGCTTAAAAGTAGTGGCTCAGTTATTACAGAAAAGATTTCTGGCATTTTGCTGGAAGTCCAACATTCTAAAAGCTTTTCAGAAGTAAAGTAGATCAAGTCTTTCAAGACTTCACATGAAACTATGTCAAGTAGCTTAAAACTGCATCCTTTTATGTGTGCAATATTGACTGTCTTCTCTACTAATTACACTATCCATTGGTCTTTACTGATTGAATTCCTTCATTGGCCGAACTAAATACCCGTTAGATCATTGCCAATATCGAGGAGACTGTGGGTTTCGGCAAAGGGACTCCCAAAATCTACGCGACCGTTGACCTTGAAAAGGCCCGAGTCGGACGGACTCGAACACTCGAGAAGGAGCCCGAAAACCCCAGATGGTACGAGTCTTTCCACATCTACTGCGCTCACAATGCATCGAACGTCATATTCACGGTCAAAGACGACAATCCAATTGGCGCCACTCTAATCGGGAGGGCCTATGTCCCTGTCCACGAGCTTCTGGACGGCGAAGAAATCGACCGCTGGGTTGAAATACTCGACGAGAAAAAAAAGCCAATAAAAGAAGAATCCAAAATCCACGTGAAGCTTCAGTTTTTCGACGTCTCTCGTGACCGCAACTGGGCCCGCGGGGTGAAGAGTGCCAAATACCCTGGTGTCCCGTACACTTTCTTCTCCCAAAGAACGGGCAATCGTGTCTCGTTATATCAGGATGCTCACATTCCGGATAACTTCATCCCAAAAATACCCTTATCCGGGGGAAATTACTACGAGCCGCACAGATGCTGGGAAGACGTTTTTGACGCCATCACTAATGCGAAGCACCTGATTTACATCACGGGCTGGTCCGTGTACACCGAGATCACTTTGGTACGTGACTCGAGGAGGCAGAAGCCCGGGGGAGACGTTACGCTCGGCGAGCTTTTGAAGAAGAAGGCGAGCGAAGGCGTTCGGGTGCTTATGCTCGTGTGGGACGACCGAACCTCGGTTGGCCTGTTGAAGAAGGACGGTTTGATGGCTACACACGATGAGGAGACCGCGCAGTATTTCGAAGGCACGGACGTGAACTGTGTTCTGTGCCCTCGTAATCCTGATGACGGCGGGAGTTTCGTTCAGGACCTTCAGATTTCGACTATGTTCACCCACCACCAGAAGATTGTTGTAGTCGACAGTGATTTGCCGAGCGGGCAATCGGATAAGAGGAGAATCGTGAGTTTTGTTGGCGGGATTGATCTCTGTGACGGGAGGTACGACTCGCCTTTCCACTCGCTCTTCCGGACACTTGACACGGCACATCACGATGATTTCCATCAGCCCAATTACACTGGGGCTGCCATTACGAAAGGCGGGCCTCGTGAGCCCTGGCATGATATCCACTCCCGTCTCGAAGGGCCCGTCGCGTGGGATGTCCTCTTCAATTTCGAGCAGAGGTGGAAGAAGCAAGGAGGGAAAGACTTGCTCCTCCAATTGAGGGAACTCGATGATGTCATCATCCCTCCTTCTCCAGTCGTGTACCCGGACGATCACGAGACGTGGAACGTGCAGATATTCCGCTCGATCGACGAGGGGGCCGCGTTCGACTTTCCCTCCACGCCAGAGGAGGCCGCGCGGGCCGGGCTTGTTAGCGGGAAGGACAACACTATTGACAGGAGCATTCAGGATGCATATATCCACGCGATTCGCCGTGCCAAGAATTTCATTTATATTGAAAACCAGTATTTTCTGGGGTCGTGTTTCGGGTGGGACTCGTCTGACATCAAGGTGGAGGATATTGGGGCCTTGCATCTCGTGCCGAAGGAGCTTTCGCTGAAGATTGTGAGCAAGATCGAGGCTGGGGAGAGGTTCACGGTGTATATCGTGGTTCCCATGTGGCCGGAAGGGATTCCGGAGAGCGCGTCGGTTCAGGCTATACTGGACTGGCAGAGGAGGACGATGGAGATGATGTACAAGGACATTGTTCTGGCACTCCGTGCCAAGGGTATCGTGGAGGACCCGAGGAACTACTTGACCTTCTTTTGTCTCGGTAATAGGGAGGTGAAGAGGAGCGGCGAGTACGAGCCGTCTGAGAGCCCGGAGCCCGGTTCAGATTACGAGAAGGCTCAGCAGGCCCGCCGCTTTATGATCTATGTTCATGCCAAGATGATGATAGGTAAGTAGTTGTTCCAATTTTTTATTTATTTTTTTATTATTATTATTTTTTTTAATATTTGGTTGGTCTTATGTTACTTTGTCGTGGCAGTTGATGACGAGTACATAATAATTGGGTCGGCCAACATTAACCAGCGGTCAATGGACGGGGCTCGGGACTCGGAGATTGCCATGGGGGCCTACCAACCGTACCACCTGGCGACCAGGCAGCAGCCTGCCAGGGGGCAGATACATGGCTTCAGGATGGCCCTATGGTACGAGCATCTGGGCATGCTCGACGACTCTTTCCTTCACCCGGAGAGTGTTGAATGTGCAGCCAAAGTGAATCGTGTTGCTGATAAGTACTGGGACCTCTATGCTAGTGAGGAGCTGGAGAGGGATCTGCCAGGCCACTTGCTCAGGTACCCGATTGGGATTGCTAGCGAGGGGAATATTACGGAATTGCCAGGGACGGAGTTCTTCCCGGATACTAAGGCCCGTGTGCTCGGCACCAAGTCTGACTATCTCCCGCCTATCCTCACGACTTGAGGTGAGGATATATATGGAACTTAGGTCGTGGATTGAAATAATTAATGAATAAAATTCGTGTTGTCGATTGTGTGTTTGCTGGGCGTTTAGGGGCACACGAAGGGTTTTTTTTTATTCGGATATTCTGTGTGGTTGTATGTTGTTGTGTTCTTCTGGTCTCTGTAGTGATTTGTCTGGTTTTGTGATGAATATGGTCTTGAAAACTATTTTGTGTGTTATGACTGTGTATTTGGAGTGACATTTCTCACTTATGCTGCTGTGGAATATCGAGTACCTCAATTGATTAGATGTTTATTTGTAGTTCTTGCCTGGACATTAATAAAGATGTTCCCATGTCTCATTAGAAAATATTTATGAACAATGTGGAGTGGAAAGTATATTTTGTTTTCACAAACTTTAAAGATACTTCAATAGCTAATAAGAAGCAAGAATTCGTACTATACACCTCGAAATTCCATGAAGATTCAAGATTCTTGAGTAGTGTGCCAAATCTTGCCTCGCCACGCGCACCAAAAGTTTTCAAAGAAAATTATGAAGTGGCCAATGTGATAAGATGAAGGCATATTTTTCTTTTCGTTTTTTTTTTTTTTNATTTTTATTAAAAAGAGGTCTTTCTTCCAATCTACCGTTTGCCTTAGCTGATTGCATTGGATTCTAATGGTCCCTCCAAAAACCGATATTGTATGGACAGAAAGACGTCAACAGTTTCAAACGGTTGAGACTTTGTGCGTGTCTTCTTGTGATCATATGCTTGTGACATTATGTCTGTCAATCTCAATAGGACCCTTAACTTTGTCTAATCCTATGACATCTATATCACATTCACCACTCTTTGTTCGATTAGAAAAAATCGTCTATCTGTGCAAAATGATTTCAAAGGAACTCNAAAAAAAAAAAAAAATATGCGAGTGTGTAATTGTGCGTGTTTCATTTGAAAAATATTGACATATTCTGCCACAAATTCAAGTGTCGGTCAGTTTAATGGTTAGACATATTGATTTTTCATACTTTTTAAACAGACATGTGTGTATTTACATTGCGAAATATTACACTTTTATTTATATTATTTTTCAAAGTATGTCATGTATGAACTAGTACGAATCCCGTGCGATACACGGGTAAGAGATATTAATTAATTTTTATAAATTAAAAATTCTCATTAAATGATATTTATAAATTAGAAACATGGAATCAATATGTAATACAATGTACCTATATAATTTATTAAAAATGTTATATAAAATTTAAATTGTGCAAAATTATATAAAAATGTCTATTTAAAATTAGTACACATCCCGTGCGTTGCATGACATTCATCATATTTTCATGCATTATGAGTGATATATTGTGATATTAGGCCTTGGTTATCGTGTGATTGTGCACCATTTTGTTTGATTTATTAATCTATGATAGAGGTGTTTTTGTCGTTGGTTTTGTAGGAAATATGCCCGGAAAAGCGTTGAAAATGGAATCGGAACAAAAAACGGCAAAAACGGGTGCAGAAGAGGTCACACGACTCGTGTGGGTAGTGACACGGGTCGTGTGGGTTGAGAAAATAAGAAACGCAGCTACGGCTTTTTCACACGGGTCGTGTGGGTTGTCAAACGGGTCGTGTGGCCTCACACGACTCGTGTGACCCGGTCGTGTGACCAGGTCGTGTGACCAGTCGTGTGAGTCTGGAAGTTCGCCGAAATGTTGAGAAAAGTCACACGACTCGTGTGGCATGTGACACGACTCGTGTGACGCGCATACCAGACCTGCGGGGAATAGGATTCTTGTGCGATTTCTTCCCTTTTTCGACCCAGAAGTGCCCTACAGTATAAAAGAGGCCTTAGGAACTCGTTTTTGGGACTTTTTGACACCATTGGAGGCCTAGAGAAAGCACGAAACACACGAGGGATTCGAGGAGTCAAGATTGAAGATTCGGGAACTAACGGCGACAATAGTTCTTCTTTCTTTTCTCTTTTTCTTCTTCATTGAACTCATGAATATATTTATTTTGAGTTTTGAGAATATGTTTAGTAGCTAAACCTTTTAGGGATTCTAGGATTTGCGAGTACTCGGATTATTTTATGAAGTGATTTTGTTTATTCATTCCGGTTTATCATTCGTTTATCAATTTCTTGTGCTTTTGTTTATTGTGTGAATATAAGGGCCCGTATTTATGCATATTTGTGATTGACTTGAGACCGAGAGGAGATAGTTGATTGCTAGAATTGGGAAATTCATAACGTAAGAGACTAAACAGACCGAGAGGTTGATAGAATCTTGCGAGGGAACTAGAATCTTAGGAGCTTATGGGAGTTGATTGTTCATCTTGAGACCGAGAAGAGATAGATAACAATTAATATCTACGATTTAACTTGTTCGAGAGAAAGGTGTAAATTACTTTAGTGATTATCCCTACGAATGGTAGAATTAAATAAGGTTTGAATGAATAGGAAATCTTTGTTAGAATAATTCCGAGGAAAGCATAGCCTAGAATCTATTTTCTCATTCTTGATTTATTTTAGAACAAACCTTCATTAGTGTTAGAATTTATTTTGCAATCATTCATTAGTTTAGAATAAAATCACCATTCAAATTTGCATTAGACTAAATAATATTTACTCGTTTACATTTTGATACTTAGTTAATTTTGACAATAATCTCTGTGGAATACGACCTTGCTCGCCACTCACTATAGCTATACCGTACACTTGCGGGTAGTGAAAATATTTTGCGAACATTGCACATAATTGATAATAAAATACATTATATTCATTTCAAAATATGTGTCATTTCAAAATTTTTATTCACAAATTCGATTTGACTATAACGTGATTCCATAAAATAATTATTTTGGTAAAATTTTATCATATATTTACAAACCAATGTGAATAATAAGTATAAATATAAAACTTATATTGTTTAATTAATTAAAATAAATTTATTTTTGTATAAAATATCTAACTCAATAAATTTAAGTAGTTGAGTAAAAACAATCAGTCATAAGATTTTTATGCCAACAAAAATCAACACTCTTTATCATGCTTAAAATAAAAGCTAAATAAATTTGTTCACTTTATACCATATATTGATTAATTTATTTTCCATAGAAACAAACATCAATACCAAAAATAAATTCGTACACTATATACCATATATTAATTAATTCACATGATTTGAGTAATTAAGGTATCTTAAACTATGGCTTTTACTTCCTTAAATAATGAGCCTCAATTTCCATAAGTGATCATTTATAATATACCATAAATTATTAAATTAATATCCCAAAATAGTAAATAATTTTTTTTGGAGGAAAATAGTTACTATTTAAAAAATAATCAAACCTTTATGTACATACTCATCACTCATACTGTTGTGTTACTAATCTTGTTGATGCTCTACTTAAAAAAGTTGTGTGTAGCAATGGCGGATCTACACTAAGGCGAGCCTAGGCAATTGGCTAGGCTCAATTTTTTGTGCTAACTACACATAGTTAATGAGTTAAATTAAAAATTTATATTTAATAAATGTAAAAATATAAATACAAGGTTCTATGTTAAAATTTTAAATAATTCTTACAAAATAACATAATTGTTTTTATTTAAAATGATACACCTCACCAGTCGGATTCGACGATATTATGTTAGAACATTTTTAGTACTTATACCATTTAATAAGTTTGATAGATAAATTTATTATTTTCAATTATAATTGATAAATATTTAATTTATTATTGATAGAGATCAGTTAGATATAACTATTTTAATTTACATATACAATATGAATGTCAAATTATATATTGTTAAAATTTAAATGATCACATATAAAAAATGATAATATATACAAATGTTAGTAACGTTTAAAATATATTTACAATTTATGTTACCAAAGCGTTTAAACTTAAAAGTTCTGAATAAAGATCCATATTTATATGGACTATTTCGAATCCTTTGAAATTAACATATAGAATTACAAAGCGTTGGAAATTGACAATGAAAAACTCAACATTTATATATAAAAAGATAATCCATAAAGAAATCTTTATAAAATAACATGAACAAAATAATGACATATAGGCTTTTTTAAGTTAATAAATTATATTTCAAAATGACTTGTTTATTTCCTATTACACAAAAAATGAAGGAAAAATGATCGTAAAATATTTTTGGTATATTTCTTAATATTAATAAAAACACAAAATAAAATAACCAAAATAAAATAACCAGACCTCATTCGCAATTTTATTTTTTAGCATCAAGTCAAAGGCAAATTGAATAGAGAACCCCTCAACACCTAGTTGTTCCAACGATTTATTTAATTGTTAATATAAGTATGTTGTGCAATATGGTTAAAAATTTCTTTGAACTATTTTTGTCCTGGCTCATACAAATTTCTGGATCCACCGCTGGTGTGTAGTACTAAATGCTGGTTAATTTCAAGGTGTAACATTTGTTAAAAAAAATAATAAAAAAATAAAAAATAAAAAATAAAAAAGCTCGCATGATTACAGATAACAGGAATGACATGTTTTAAGGTAGTTGCAACCGATGTATTTTTAGTAGGCTTTAAGACTACTAAATTAAAACATTAGTACACCTCAATAATAATAATAATAATAATAATAATAATAATAATAATTATGTGTATACTAAACTAGCTGTGTGGGTACATTTATGTATTTTTTAATTAAAATATTTTGGAACCATTAAATAACGATGATAAAAAAAACAAATACAAANGATAATGGTATTTATTAGTGATGATGTCCATAAGAGTTGGAAGTTGTCTTTGTCCCATTCATATCAATATACTCCTACAACCAGTATTTTAAATAGCGCAATTTCGCGCGTTACGAAGCGCGCTATAGCGTATTTTTATCCAAAAACGCGAAATAGCTTATATAATTTCGCGCAATTCCAGAAAAACGTACACAATTTGCGCTATTTACACAATTTACGCTATATTTTGCGCTATTTACGCAATTTACGCTATTTAGGTAATCCTTATTTATAGGCAAAAAATAAAAAATAAAATAATAAAATACAAAAAAAAATGTAGGGCACAAAATTGAGTAATTTCTCCCATGGCGAATTTGAGTGATTATTAAATCATGTTTCGTATTTCTCTTGAAAAAAAAAAATAAAAATTGATATCAACATATCTAAGATTGATCTTTTGGACTATTAGAATCATGAAATGTTTATGTTTCTTAAACTCAAAAGTGAAATGAGAAGAACACTTCATTTTTTTCTCCAAATGATGAGGAGATGCAAGAATTTGATGAAATTGTACTACTAATTTTTTATAGTGAAAGTATCCGTAACTTTGATAGAATTGACGATGATAGCCAAATTCAATTGGATAACACTGATCATTTTAAGATTTTGAGTCTTTATTTTAAACATTAAGACATTGGTTGTTTGAAGAATTAATATTTGAATGTTATTTTTTAGATTCAATGTCCAAGTTTATGGTTTAAGACCATTTTAACTATTTATTCGCTTGTATGGTTATATATTATTATTTTTAGCATTAAAAAATAATTGCTCGAATAACTTACGCATATTTTAAACATTAAGACATTGGTTGTTTCAAGAATTAATATTTGAATGTTATTTTTTGGATTCAATGTCCAAGTTTATGGTTTAAGACCATTTTAACTATTTATTCGCTTGTATGGTTATATATTATTATTTTTAGTATTAAAAAAGAATTGCTCAAGTAGCTTACGCAATGCGCTACGCTATTTACGCTAAGCAATATAAGGACCAAAACGTTATGCATTGCGCGATGCGCGTTTTAAAACACTGCCTACCACACATGCATCGTGACACCAAACTACCAAATGCTTACGAATGCCACGAATTTCTTTATTAAGCAACCTCAATGAGTGGAATTATTATTGTTATGGGCACCCATGTGACCTCAATAATTTTATCATTATAGGCCGCAAAGTTCATTTCACATTATATGCCTAATTGGGCATTTAATTTGTTGTATAATAATAAAAAAAAAGGACTGTTTCTTTTACATAAAGGTTTCATATCTGGAACTATTACCAATCACCAATAGTATAATATTGTACAATGTTTGATTAGCTTTATTTTTTTGGTCCACACAAATTGCACACTTTACAGTCAACTCAAATGTGTGCTTCAATAGTACCAAAAAATTGAAACCATCAATGAGAGCATCACAGAGTATGAAAAGAAGAAGTCCACGAGTGCCTAGTTTCTTGGCTTTATAATTTACCCACTTATTACAAGTCCATTTCCTTCTAGAATCTTGTAAATATGATACTTATCTAGTTTACTTACCCACATGATGTGCCACTTTTAAATTTTAATTGCCTAATATATGTTGGGTACACATATTAAGAGCACAATTTAATATTTTAACTACCCTACTTTTTACTAAATTAAAAACTCATGCAGAATTTCATGCACTTAATTTAATGTATATACATTTTAGGTTACAATAAGTACTGGTTATATAGCGTTACATATAAGGGTGAATAAATTAATAAGTAAGATAAATTGTTCAACACTAACAATGTTTTGAAACATGCGATAATTCCAAACTGTGTACATGTCTTCTTACAACGATATTTTTCACCATAAAATTTACGTTGAATTGGTACTTTCATCATAATTTTAGTTTAAAGGTGTGCAAACAACACTCTAATTGTTATATGCAATTAGAGTACATATGCAATTAAATATAAATAATTAAATATAAATAATTAAATATGCATATGTATAATGATAAATTTATTTTATGATTGCATTCATAGTCCACACAGAACTTTTAGTTGCATCAAGAAATTTATCTTTTATGTGATTTATCCATCAATAAAGATCCACCACCTTCCGTTAGATTTGTCAGCTTTTTACAATCTTAGACATGGTTATATTGATATTTTTGGGATGATATTCAATTGATTTTTTTAATTGTTATAAGGACTACAATGAATTCATGGTGGTATAGTAATGTCTAGGAATATTAGTCACGAAATTAACTTTGGGCTTGGCAGCTTTAACATGAGATTGCAATATTGTTTCCATGCTGCAAATGTCAAAGTGACGACGTTTGGTATTAATTTTCTATCGATTTTTTCCTTTAAAATCTATGGTGAAAATTCACTGTTCATTAATTTGCATCATAAAATTGCAAATTTCCAAGACGTTCAAAAAATTCACACACAATTTTTCTTACATAGAAAAATATGTATATTTCTCATCGTCATTTTCCAGCAATTTCCTTTCCCTTTCCCACGAAGCCACGCATTCAAAGAAATACTACTAAAATAGTATAAAAGAAGAAACAAAAGTGAGAAATGCTTTTACCTTCTAAATAAAGCAATATAAAACCCAGATACGATTCTCACGCCCCAAATAATTTATTAAAATATTTAACGTCGCCCAATTTTTTTAAATTTATTTTCTTGAATTTGTCCGCAAACCAACTCCTCCCAACCAATAACAACCCCACTAGATTTTAAAATTTATTTATACATTTACATTTAATTACATATATGCAATTTGATTCCCTGTGGCTGTGGACCTGTTCTCTCGCCATTCTTCCTCCCATTTAATTACTTGTAACTTCTTCAAAAAAATAGAAAATAAAAATTCATTCTTCATCTTCTTCTTGTTCTATGCTGACTTCCCAAGGTCTGGTTTTGGCCACGGCCATGGCCATCTCCGCCGGCACCATTTTCCTGTTCGATCATTTACGGGAAAAATATTTCCCCCATGCCCCCCATCTCTCCGAAAATCACAATTTCCCCCCTCAATCCCTCAAGCCCTGTTTATCCCCAGGTAACAAAAAATGGGCAATATAGTTAATTTATAAGAAAAATCATTATTTGAATTCTTGATTTGAGAAAAAAAAAAATTGATTTTTTTCTTATTTATTTCCTTTGATGAGTTTTGTTTTAAGGTTGCCGGAAAAGGGGTAAAGAGCAGAGGAAAAACGGCAAGAAGAAGAGGGTTCGATTTGCAAACGATGTCAAGGATTCGAAGGGCAATGGCGAATTGTACAGAAAAGCAGGCAGGAAATTTGTTGGGAAAAATTCCTGCTGTGAGGAAGTTATTGGAATTCCGAAAATGCCCCCAAATCGTGCGGTTCTGTACAGTGGGATCCTCAGAGATCGTGTGCAGAGGATGGAGTATTCGTACTGATCCTTTAGTTATGTTTGATGGTTTTTTACTTTTTTTTGGGGGTTGGGAGAAATTGTAGATCAAAAGATTGATGGGGTGGGAAAAAGAATTGTTTGATTTTCCTGTCCTTACGTTGTAAATAGAACAAAGTGCTTTTAGCTGCTGACGAATCTTTGGATTTATCTCGTTTTTGGTTGTATGAATCTCAGGTTTGGAGAAGATAGATAGATTTTAACAGAAATTGTGGCCTCAATTTTGAGCTTTCTAAACTTGAGGTCCACCGATAAGGAGCGGAATCGAAGTATTGCAGAAAGCTCCTCGTGACTTTCAATAAATTGGCAAAATGGTCATATGCCCCTTAATCTAGATTTTCATGCTTTAAAAAAGTTGTATTAGAATGATTTATTTGAAACAATATTTACATTTAACTAATTTTAGTTCAGTCAATTTTTATATTGTAGATGTTAGGTTTACGGTTGAGTTTGGAATTGAATATAATTAACATTTACACGGGTATTTTGTTATGAAATTTGATAGACTTTGTAATTTTATGTAGTTAATTACAGATTCACTATAATTCCATGACCCTCAATATAATTTCAAAAGTAAAACTCTCAATATGATTTTTCATAAGTTCAATAAAATTCTGTTATCCTCGAATTATCACAAATTCAAGCTCAGTAATATAGAATCATGTAGAAATTCATAAAATCCATATAAAATCACAACTTTAGGGAGAGAGTGGGTTGGCTGCTATGTTAATGGTCCGTTACTAATCTCTCGTATTTATCTAAATATATTTATGTTGAGTTACGTAATATTGCAAATAAGTTTTTAATTTTGTATTTGTACAATATTTTAGCAATCAGCATGTATGTAAATTAGCCTTAAAAAGTCTCTAATTTTACGGCGTACCATCATTTTTCGGGTCGAGAAAACTAAAATTCGTGATATTGTTATTTTATTACAGATGTAGATTTGGCCCAAAAACCTGGCCATATTTTCGGGGGCAAAAAGGGAATTGTTTCAAGTCACTGTTGACCTGTTGTTTTCACCATTTAGACATTTTATTTTCCTAATTAATTACTTTAAGACAATTATTTGGATTTAGCTAATTATTGTTGACCCATATCTATACTTTATATTAAAAGGTATATCATTTACCAGATTTAGTATAAAGAAAAGTCAACAACATTTATTGCATTACTATTTTCGTATTATACAATCTATACTTATATAAAAAGAGATTCTATTTACTATATTTACTATCCAGAAAAGTCAACTGCATTAAATGTCATTATTATTTTAGTATTATAATATTTTATTTATTTAATTGATTTATTTATTTGTTTTATTTTAAAAAAGTAAGTATAATAAAAAAATTTTAATAATAAAAAAATCAAATACCAAATAAAAATGTAAACTTTGACTTATTTGATTATATTTGGTATTTGATTATACCAAGTATATTCCTATTTAGTATATACATTAAATACTTACTAAAGTTGTTTTATTTGTCAAAGTTAAGTATAGATTTGTTTATATTATCAAATCATAAAAAAATATTAAATCCATATTGTAAAAAAAAAATCATATAATTTTATAACAATTCTACTACACTATTTAACAATATTTATTTTTTATTATATAATAAAATAATAATTAATATTATATGGTGAACAATAATAAGTAAAATTGTTAATTTCTCTTATATCAAGGGATAAATTTATATGCTAAAATTAAATTTTTATTAGCATAAATGTTTTAGTGAGATAATATATTAATTATTTTACAAGCTAGCCCTAACATGCTCATATTTAATGTTTTAAAAGATGTAGAAAAAAAACTTATAATAACTCTATTGTTTTTTAGACTTAAACGTTGATTATAAGAGGTAAAAATTCCTAATTTTTTAGACTTAAACGTTGATTAACACCATAGATTGAGAGTTTATATTTAGTAAAATTCCTAATTGTAATAAAAAAATTAATTTTTGCTATATTTTTTTTTTGGTCGAAACGATAGAGATTTTATATATAAAGGTGCACAAATGTGCAAAAGAACAACCCCCAGCTGAATACAAACAGCCAACGGCTGAATACAACCAACTAACAACTGCATAAAATGGGAGGACAGGTCAAAGACCGCCTAGAGCCCGACCCCAATAGGGTAATACTTGGGAACACACAAAAAACACAAGAAAACACTAAATTTAGAATATCTTTAAATTTATTGTTAAAAAAAATTACAATGAAAAAAGCAAGTTAGATATATATCGATTTGTTATACTCCTCAAATCACATTCACAATTTGGCTACAAGGAAAGGTTAATGTACAAGAGACTTTAAGACTCCACTTGAATATTATAAAACTTTTATTGAACATTGTACAATTTTCTTGCGTATTATAAACTTTTATTGAATATGACATCTTATAATATAATATTCTCCAAATAAATATATCTCGTGCTTTGCACGGGTCACGTACTATATATATCCCATACATTTTTCTTTATTCATGTATATAATTATAAGTCTGGATAAATAGCCTTAAAATTGTGCACCTCGTGCATCGCACGGGCTCTGTACTAGTTTTATATTAATACACGAAGTTTATAATTACACATTGGATTCTTTCAAAAGATTCTTGTTTGTTGAAATATCAAAATAAATTAATATAAGCGCCTTTCTATCGTTTAAAAAAAAATTAAAAAGTCAAAAAATAATAATTTTGGTGGTTTATGTTCCTTCATTTCATATACAAAAAAATAAGTTAAAGTATAGATATTATAATTAAAATCATAAGCTATATGATGAACATATTATATTATAAATTTAATTACTAGTAACAATGAAAAATATTAAATTATTATATAACAATCGTGTATGAAATTCTAATGAGTCAGTTGTACCAATAAACCGAATAACTAATTAAAAAATAGCTTATTATGTATCTATTACTATACAATACGGAGAAGAAAAATTATTTGAACAATTCGAAAATAAATATTTCGTTTTCCCGCTTTTATTTTTTGTTTTTTTCCACTTTCGGCAAAATTTTTGAATTTTTTCACAATTCCCGCTCATGCAATTTATGAATAAGATATCTATTAGCTAAAGTGATAAGATATTATAAACTAAAAAATGTGTGAATCTTTTGAAAATATGGTGTGATTTTTTTGCCATAATCTTATCTCATCTTAATTAAACACACATCTTCATTAAAAATCGCCGCTATTATCGAGAAGAAAACCCACGTAATGAAATCTTCGCTCATTATCCGGAGGACCCCGAAACCCCCAATTCTCAAGACAATTCCCCTAACCATCATCGGCGTCCACCGCTCTTCCGCCGAGATCGCCGTTGGTGATCGCCACAAGCTCTCCATCAACTTCGAAGTCAGGCTCGCCACAAGCTCTCCATCAACTTCGAAGTCAGGCTCTGGTCGGTCCCGCTCTTAAGTTTAGCTACAGATCCTTGAAGACCGACGTCGGGATATTCGGTTCCGTGATGGCTGAATTCGGCTCCGTCGGCGGCGGAAACCCGAATTTCTTCTTCACTTCAAGTCCAAATCATGAGATTTTTCCGTTCGGAGGTCGATGGGGACGGAGGACGAGATAGAAGGAAGGAGACAGCAATGGCGAAGACCGATTGCAATTTGGTAGGCCATTGATTTTACTGGGTTTATATTTTGTATCAGTTATTTTAAGTTTTAATTTTGCACATTACTGTGGATCTACTTTCCTTTTAGTTTCATTCTTCGCCTCACGCTCAAAACGAAAGACAAATAGTGAAGAAGAAAAGAATTCTGAATTGGCTATTCATTTTTTATTAAGCAACCCTTGTGAGATTGGCCTTGGGTGATGATATAAGGCTATTTCTGGACCTAAGTATTGGAAATGAACTCTTGAAAAGGGTATATTAGCACATAAAAATCTTGCACAGGTTAATAAGTTTATTAAAGGGTTATACTAATGCTACCCAAACATTCAACCTAACTACCAAAAAGGATGGGGGCAGTGTGAATCATACTAGAATTCTTTCCCAGACTTATGTTCGAATACAATATAAGCAGAAAAATGGTGGAAGAAAAGGTAGTTTAAATGTTGATCAAGGTGTTTTTTGAGTAGTTTGGTGGTAAGCCGATTTTCTGCCTATTGATCTGCATTTCTCATTGGATTGCATTTTCTTTTAGTCTCCCTTTTCTCCTGAAAGTTGTAGTAGAGTGACATACTGCGTTTTCCGCAATTCATAATTGAGGTATTGATAGCTGAATTAATTGAAGTTACGATTTTGTTGTTCTTTTCTAATTATATATTATTATTTTCTTTTTTAATTTGAATACAGAAATGCATTTTTTGTTTCATTTGTTGGTAAAATTGATTCACGGTTTTTCTGTGCTGATTAAATTTTGAGTTGTGTGTGTTTCGAATAGCATTTCTTCTTTTAATTGGAATGGGGAAATGCATTTTTGTTTCGTTTGTTGGTAAAATCGATTCACGTTTTTTCTGTCCTGATGAACTCTCTGTGTTTTGAATTGCATTTGCGTGTCATTGAGCCCAGGTGTTTGTGTTGCTTGAGCAGCGTGTGAGATTTGATTTTTAAATTTGTTTTTGTCATCCTGTTCAACGTGATTCCTTATACGTTTCTGGTGTTCAGCCTCACTAATCTTCTCAGATACAAGTGAAATTTATGTTTTTCACTTTTCACCAGGTTCAGTGTTTGTGGGGAAATGAGATGAATATTGCCAGATCATAATGAGAGCCATGGTCAGGAAGCGCTTCTCTACCTAAGGGAGAACTGAAACCGATGGATTCAGCAAAGAGTTGGTTCCAAAAATTCCAGCCACGAGATTGGCTTAGGTCATCCACGAGGAGGAAGGACTCAATGGGCAGCGGCCGTGAAAAACGGAGGAATAGCTATCGGCCGAGGGAGCTTCGAACCTCACGAAGCAGAGGGTTGCTGCCGCAAAGCAGTACATCGAGAATCATTACAAGGAGCAGATGAGGAATCTTTAGGAGAAGAGAGAGAGGTATGGTGCCAGTGCGCCATTTTAACTTGTCCGACGTTTTTTTTGAATCTTAATTCTGTTGAGGGTGAATGTTGTGGTTTTGATGGGTTGTTATTTGTTATTGTTTGTGTTGTTAGACATGATCATGCCCGTGTTTTGTTCAAATTTAGAACATAGTGATTTGGTTTTTTGTTGACCTAGAGGACTTTCATGGGGAAGACACTGGGGTTTGGCTGAAAAACTAGAAACCAGGTTGTCTTTTAGAATTACGTGTAGCTTCTGGATATTGGTTTCTCTTTTACAAGTTACATGTCTATTGGGGGGATATAGCTTAGGTAAATGTAAACCTTGAGGGGATGTTTATTACCACTTGTAAGGGCATATCTGTGATCTTGTAAGACGAAATAATTTTGTGCAGTTGGATTAAACCTCAGGAGAACTTTGTGATTATCTATAATCCCATTCATTTGGTATGCTTCATCTACTCATTTTATATGCTCTTATGCATCGAGTTTGATAGCAATTTGAATGGATGATACAAGATGGTTCCACTATTGGCATTCGTGTATTTGAATTTTTATTATATGGCCAGGTCATCCCTATACTTAAGCTCGATTGCCCAGCCCAAGAGTCGGGCTTAGGGTTGCCATCTCAAATTTTCATCCTGAGTGCATCTCAAATATGAACTTGCAAATCGTCAATTATTTATAGTTTATAAATTACTTAACTACTTAAATTTTTTATTTGAATAGTTTATACAACAATAAATTATTTTAAAGTAATGAAGCAATATAAATTTTATATTTATAGTTATTATTCACATAGGTTGTTAAATATATGATAACATTTTGCCAAAATAACTATTTTATGGAATCACATATGGTCAAATCGATCTTTTGAATAAAATTTTGAAATGATACTTATTTTGAAACGAATATAATGTAATTTATTATCAGTTATGTGCACCGTACGGGTTGTATACTTATTTAAAATAGACATTTTTATGTAATTTTGTACAATTTAAACTTTTTATAATATTTTCAATAAATTAATATAGTTAAATTGTTTTACATATTGATTTCATATTTTTAATTTATAAACATTGTTTAATAATAATTTTTAATTTATAAATATTAATAAATATATCTTATCCGTGCACTGCACGGGACTCATACTAGTAAAAACATAAAACGGTATAAAAATTCGAGCAGATATTTGTATGTCATATCATCAGTTATATAAAATATGAAACTTATAAACCAAAATATTTCAATATAAACACAAAAATATAAATCATTTTTTACCTTTTAGATGTTTAAACTGATAATTTAATTTTAAATCATTTTGGTCCTAAATTGATATATATTATCTTTCAAGTCTGGAATGAATAATTAACCAATCTTTCGAGCCTGAAACTAATATAAACTAAAATCTTAATTATATAGTTTTAGATCTTTGGATCGTTGATAGAATACCCTTTAAAAGTCTTAATGTAATAGTTTTAGATCTTTGGATCGTTAATAAAATACCCAAATGAATCGATCTCTACTAATAATTTAAAAATAAAATAAATGAACATTGAACACTATAAAACTATTTGTTTAT